TTTGAGTTTTGGAATAATTGCCCTAAACGTTTAGGAATTTGGGGCCAAAAAGGAGAAAAAAAACAAGCATTTTTCTAGTTTCCAGACAATGACTTGTGTTCAAGTGTATGGATCTCTCTGAAATTGTACTGCATGGTACCATACCACAAAGGGAAGGCTGGGATTGAGTTTGGGGTGAAGAATCATAAGGGGGTTCCTTTTTTTCTTTAAAATTTTCCATTTTTAATTGGTTATTTATGATTTATATATTAAAGCAAATAATAATGATATGGTTTGAATAGGTAAATTAAAAATTTTTAAGTTCTTAGACCACATTCATTCTGTGTCAGAAACCTATGCTGTGTCAATTTTTTAATCACAATCCAAATTTAGTGCTGTATCAAGCTTGAATGTTGTGTCCATACTTGCCCCAACTGTTCAGGGTTCGACCTCTGCGGTCGTATCAAGCTGTGCCCAGCGGAGCATTTTATCTTCTTTAAAATTTTCCATTTTGAATTGGTTATTTATGATTTATATATAAAAGCAAATACTAATGATATGGTTTAAATAGGTAAATTAGAAATTTTTAAGTTCTTAGACCACATTCATTCTGTGTCAGAAACCTATGCTGTGTCAAATATTTAATCACAATCCAAATTCAGTGCTGTATCAAGCTTGCATGTTGTGTCCATACTTGCCCCAACGGTTCAGGGTTCGACCTCTGCGGTCGTATGAAGCTGCGCCCAGCGGAGCATTTTATTATAAGATATCTTATAAACTTTAAAAGAAATTTTTAAAAGTTTATAAGATATCTTATAAAGTTTATTAGATATCTTTTATAAGTATTTTTTATATAAGATATCTTATAAACTATATGAGATATCTTATAAAATTTATTAGATATCTTGAAGTTAGAATAACTAGTAAAACGGCTTGCTATAATAAGCAGATGTCAACGCATTACTGACTATGAATATAATAAAGGAATTAAGCATATACTGACATAGTTTGTCCGATAATTGCATCTTAACATACATTAATATTACACTCAATTAGACAATGCGTATTAAGAATACTTGTTAGAAATTTTACTTCTAATGAAAATAACTCTTTATAAATTTTTTTGCGTCCCGGAGAAGCGCTTTTCTAGATTAACCATTAACAGGAAGTACAAATGTGTTTGTGTGAATAAAAACATATGCTATGATTTCTGTGTACACATCACGTGTAAAACCTTTAGGGTACACAGCACATGTTTCTGGAATCGCCCTCGTCAGGTTTGATGGACCTTCACGGTACACAGCACATGTTTCTGGAATCCCCCTCGTCAGGTTTCACGGACCTTTTGGGTACACATCATGTGTTTCTGGAATCCCCACGCCAGGTTTGACGAACCTCTTGGGTACGCAGCGCGTGTTTCTGGAGGAGCAGCCCCGATATTCCGAAACCCCATTAGTCCGACACCCCATTGGTCCGACAACCCATTCGTCCGACGCCCCATGGGTCCGACACACCAATGGTCCGACACCTCATTGGTTCGACGCCAGATTGGTCCGACATGGAATAATTGAACAATAGTTACATCTTTTTATATTAGAAAGCCTAAGAACGTGTTTATCTAATATTGAAACTGTGTCTTCAACCGAATGCCTTGTCCATCGAATGATCCCACTTATCAAGGTAGTTTGGTAGACATGTATTTGTTAAAATATTGGGGAAATTAATATTCACCAATACAACATATAGAATGATCGAGACGAGCACATCGTTGTCTTGCTTGGCTAAAAAACGAGTACAATCAATCTGTTAACTACAGTACACATTTTGTCAAACTAGAACATAATTTGTGAAGTTTTTGTCGAATAACTTGCATGCAGATTCTTTACTGTGTATCTCTCCCAAAGCAGAGAATTAAAAAAGTTAAGGCTAGCTCTAATGTTTTTCAAACAGAACTCTTATCTGTACAAAGTTTGACGCGTTCTCCGTAAGGAAACTGTTTTGATAATAACAACAATATAAGAGGTGGTAAATAGTAATTATGATGATAACAACAATTAAACTGGTAATCAAATTAATTATTTCATCATTTTCTAGACATCTAACCATTGCAATGAGGAGATCAGATGGTTATGGAGTTTTGTATGAAATCCGTATGTTGCTATGCAATGAACCACTTTTGATCCTATCAGTCTAACCTCTGTGTATTTTTTTTTCTAGTCAGGGGTGGATTCAGGCGGGGGCGTGGTGGGCTAAAATTTGCAAAGCATGGGTTGTCCTCAGCTCAATAAAGAATATTTCGATAATTTTACCTCAACAAAATTTAAGTTTGCGCCCCACCCCCCTAACCTAAAATCATGGATCCACCCCTGCTAGTGACTGTATGCCAAATTTATAAAGCTAGAGCAGACAAATTTAGGAAGCAATTTATAGAAAAATTAAACGACATGAAGCAAAGGCTTATTCTTTTGTAATTAGGGCACTAAGGTAAATTTTACTTTGATATATGCAGTGCAAATAAATAAAGAAATTTAAGACTGGACATACATCTAAAAAAAAATATGTTGTAATGCCAAAGTAAAATGCTATACATCCACAGGCGCTGGTCTCTTAAAAAAAAATGCTATATGGATAAAGGTAAAAAAAAACATCCAGAGACCGGTAGTACCTTTGTATACATCAGTTATTGTGAAATGCCGTACATCCACGTGCCAAATATAAAATCTTCGTAAAGATAAAACAAAATTCTGCCGCAAAGATAATTACTCCACCAGAAAAAGACGAAAGATAACAAAAAAATGCTTCAAAATTGGTATCTGCTGCTTTTCCGACAACAAAGTCGGAAATTTAATGTATGATAATGCACCTTAATATCCGACATTATATTTTTAACCGGATTTCCACAGGAAAATAACGGTTTTTGATTTGGGGATGTACGGCGGGCGTCCGAGTGGGCGGCTGTCAAAAAGTGTCCGTGCAATAACTTGAAAACGCTCTGACGAAATCTTTCCAAATTTATATATGTTGTTTCTTTTGACTAAAAGAAGGTAAAGTTCAAATTGCACATTCATTCTTCCATCGACCATGCATATATTGCAAGACAACAACCCTTTGAAAGTGGGTTTCTGGAAAGTTATTGGAGTGACCACAAAGTTCTATGGTTTTATATTGAATAAGGTTATAATCTCATAAACATATTTCTTTCATTATTGACTTCATGATTTCTGCCTACCACCCCTGCTGAACAAATGTGTGTGTACTTCTATACCCTCTTAAATTCCAATATTATGTCATTGATGATTATTAGAAGGTCAAGATTCATTTTGGCCTTTCCGTTTCAGAACACTACAATTTAAAAAAAATATTTTTTACTTGTTCCTGTATGGGGGTCCAGATATACAAATATCATTTTCATGTAGGAAAATCCGGTTTGCTGTCAATCTGACAGCCTCTTGTCTTTTATAGTATGTAAAATCGTTTACGAAGAAATGTTTATTTAACAAAATATCTATTCTAACAAAACCTTTGATTATTATGTGAGAATCAGTAAGAAATTTAAGTCAGTTTCAAATTCGTAAACACTTATATTAGCTAAACAATAATATGGATAATTTTTTTTTGTTTTTGGAAAAAGGAAAATTTAAAAAGAAATTTAATTAACAGGACTGTTAAAACATATATATAAGGCAATATCAATGATATGATTTGAAGTGATTTGTACAGGAATGGATTCAAACTGCCTCACTCTCATTGCAATCCTGTGTCACTATCAGAGAAAGAAGTGTTTTGGGTTGCTAGATTAAATTTTTATTAACATGTTTGCTTGTGCTGTACAATGGATTAAACTTTCGACCGGTTATTTATCATTTGTAAAGCGGAAAGAAAGACAACCGATTAGTTTTTAAAGAGGAAAGATAAAACACGAATGGAAATAACAATGTTCAGAAAAAAAGTTTGTTGTTTTATGAATATGCAATTGCAAAACATAATCGCTGATATCAAAAGTATTTTCCCATGGCTATTTGTACATGATTGGGTTTTTTTTTTGGGGGGGGGGGGGAGGGGTTAATATGCAGTGGCAAATGTCTCATGTATTTTTAATACAAGTTCATTCTGACAGCAACTTTCATCTGTATTATAGAAGTTTCAACCTCGATAAAGTCTTCGTATTTTTCATTGATTGAACAATTGTACTATCGATATTTCGATCAAACTTTGAAACTCACCAATTTTCGATTATATTATCAATTAGCAACTCGACAACTTTCATTTTTGGAAGTTTTTGATGTTTAAGTTCGTGGACAGTGTAGATGAACATAATTATTATGCATGAAACAAATATTCTCTTCGGATGGCAAAATGATACTTTTTCGGTAAAGTAAATTCCGAGATAAATTACGTTAACGATGAGATACTGCACTACCGAGGACTGTTCTTTACATTTTCTTTTTAGTGGAGTGTAGTTTCCCGTAGAGCACACCGTGTATGAGTTAACCAAAACTGGCAATGTTCTCGATTGCTTTATATGCATATTGTCATAGTATTTCTTAAATACCAGATAGGTAGTATGGTATTATCTGTTTCTTTAACATACTTATAAAAAAGAGTTGTTCAAATACCCCGAAAACAATTCTATGATTCTGTGAATAAATTTTCTATTACAACAGTAATATAATTATCTTCCTGTGTCGGACTATTGGGGTGTCGGACCAATGAGGCGTCGGACTAGCTGGGTGTTGGAATATCGGGGCGACCCCTTTCTGGAATCCCCCTCGTCAGGTTTGATCAGCAATAAAAGTATGGAAAGCCAAACAAGGCATTAAACATTGGCGAGCTCAAATATTATGACAAAAAGGGCTAAATCAAACCAACTAAAAACATCCAAGGTAAACTTTGCCTGAGGGAGCTCACTTCAAATTTGAAATATCGCTTGCAGATAAAACTTGCAATGATCTATACTGCTTATGGAAAACGGCAAAATTTTCCAAAGGCACTGACAATTTCTCTTTCCAAAAGATGTAAAATGATAGTTAACATACTTTAATCATTCATAAACACAATAACTAATATTTACTACTAAAATATTTACAGATATTTGTGTACTGATACACTACCATACTCGTCCAAAATATTACTTGACGCACTATAGATAATTACGTCATTTTCTGAAACGTCGTCTTCACCTCGCACAGGATGGATTCCAGTCTCTGGATTGGGTAGTTCATAAATCAGTCGGTCCCAGACCGAGTTTGATCTGGCTGTTATATATTGTCCTTGAGACAGCATTACTCTCATTTCTTGTTCTAACATATTTAATTCTATATCACCGTACACAATTAATATAAGTTTGAACATTGGATTTTTTCTTGCATAGTTCCATGCTCTATGGAAGTTTTCTACGCACCAAGAGTTAGACATAACAGTATTGTTTATGATAAATATGCAACTCTTGCTTTCTTGAAGTTGTGCATTTTCAATGTTGGCGACACTTGATAACAGTTTACTTCTATCTGTTGTAACAATTTTATAAGGATTTCTTCGTTTTTCAAGGAATGTTAATAAAGATTTATTTATCCAATCAGAACACTTTGAGTCATTTGTGTCATATATGAGATATGCATCGTATGGTCTGTTAGTTTCGTACTTATGTCGTAAGCAACCAATGCCTAGCTTTACATACAAAATAGCTATCAAGTCTCTTCTATAGTATATTGATGCTGACATAACCACGACAAGACAAATCAATGCAACAATCACAGCTGTTATGATGCCACGTCTTTTTGCATGGCTTTCTTCTACTTGACAAACAAACTCTGACAAGTGAACTGATAACAATGGTTTTGAATCGCCATAACAATCGATATCATACCGATGTCGAACCACTTTTCCGTAAGTTTTCAGCCATATCCTGAAATTTCTATTTTCGCAATCGCACTGCCACGGATTGTTCTGTAATTGTACGTAGCGAAGACTGTGCATGCCATCAATTTTGGACAAAAATGATTGACTAACATGGTGTATCTTGTTCCCGTTTAAATTTAGTATCTTAAGAGAAAGCCCATTAAACCACAAAGGAGAAACAGTTTGTATGTTATTGTCTGACAAATAAAGATTTTTTAGATTCAACAAGTTGTTGAAAACGGCAGTTGGAAGTGTCGATATCTTATTTTTACTCAAATCTAAAGTTTCCAATTGTTCAAAACCAGAAAAGAAAATATCTTCTATGAACCCGATCTGACTCTTGTTTAGATATAATTCTGTTGTATGGAAATCCGGACTATAGTGTTCTGGCAATTTCAAAATGGGTATTCTATTGCCATCCAAATAAATTACTCTGGCATCACGTGACAAAATTTCAGGCATGTAGCCAATCAAGCCGTCGCAATCTATGTAATCAATCTGACTTGTATTGGAGCTATACGAAAAACATTCACACATTCGATCGCAGTCATTAACTACTTTACACCTGAACTGGTTTTTTAGAACCTTTCTAACTGGAAGTTCTATATTTTCTGGCTGCACAACGCAGGTGCCAACCTCGTAATCAAATGTTGACACTTTATGTTCGCCTACTGTTACATAACTGTCTGTTAACCAACTCATGTTACAATTACATAACAGAGGATTGTTTTGTAATAAAAATTCCGTCTTATAAGCAATGTTAAACGGTTGAATTGTCCTAAGCATGTTATTTCTTAAATTAACTTGACGTAAATTCAAAAATCCAAGGAAAGCATCCCGGGAAATATTCAGGATGTAACCATGCTCCAAATTTAGTTCCCGTAACAAGTGATCCGATTGGTTATTGGACTCATGTGACATCAAAGCATTGATTTGTGAAATGGTGTTGAATGACAAATCAAGATGAGTTATAGTTTTCGTCCGATGAAATGAGAAGAATTTTTCGATATTACTTATATAATTCTTTTTAAGATTCAAAATAGTTAAATTTTCTGTTCCACGAAAAACGTCAGCAGATAAATCTCCGGATATGATATTGAAGGATAAATTCAAATCCGACAATGACGTCATGTTTATAAAAGATACATTATCGAACGAGTCAAACTGATTGAAACTGAGATCAAGTCTTTCTAAACTTTGTAAATCCTTGGTACGATTTCCTTTCATTGTAGCAATTATATTGCTTCTAAGATTTAGACTTTTGAGGGTCGTATTATTGAAACATTTTGGAAATTTACTCAAAATGTTTTCTTCTAAATTCACATTTGTCAAGGCTTGTGGCATTGTAACGTTGTCTAGGATATTGTCGATCATATTATGCGATAAATCGATAGTCTCTAATGACGTCAATGGTAGGAGTGATGTTCTGTTTATATCCCGGATGTCATTATGATGAAGGTATAATGCTTTTAGTGACTGCATCCCTTTAAATGTATCGGAAAACGTTTTTGAGATGCTATTGTTAGATAAATCCAAAGTTTGCAAACTCTTTAGAAGCTGAAACGTATCATTTACAATATGACTAATACCATTTGAACTTATATTTAATACTTCTAGATTTTGAGTGTAGTTAAAGATGTCGAGAAAGTCTGCAGTGTCATTGAAGGCATTCCCGTTCAGTTTTAGTATTTTTAATTCTGTCATGCTGTTGAAGACTTCCGCGGATATCTGATGCAAATCGTTGAAAGATAGCTCCATTACATTTATGTGTGTTGCATTTAGAAGAAATTTATCACTAACTTTCTTTATACCGTTTCCGGAAGCGTTAAAAACTTGTAAATCTGACCTCTGTGATAACGATCCCTTAATATCACGTATCATGTTCTTTGAGATATCGAAAACGGTCATTGTTTCACAATTAGACATGTCATCCATATCGAGATGTGTCAATCGATTCGAAGATATGTTAATATACTTAACTTGATACATGAACTTACAAAACGAACTTTGAATTGCAGGAAGATGATTTTTAGATATATCCAAATATTCAAGATTACTTGCCCCAAAGAATGCAGATACGGAAATAAAGTTAATCCAGTTGTTACGAAGAATAAGTGTTTGAACGTTAGGAATACCGTCAAACAGTTGATTTGGAATGCTTTCGATATGATTGTCACTCAAGTCGATGAATTTAAGTTTATTTAGCGCCGACGAACAGTACAGAATTCGTTTATGAAATATTTTGCTGCTCATACTTATATTATTCAGTTTTAATACTTCTAACATGTGCATATCACAAAGAAATTTCACAGCAATAGAACTAATAGGATTGTGACTGAGGTCCAGGTACATCAGAGAATGTAATCCAGCAAAGGTGTTGTCCTGTACGTCCCTGATTGCATTACTTGACAAATCCAAAAGTTTAAGCTGTGATAATTTCGCAAACATACCTTCCGGCAATGTTGTTAGATGGCAGTAATGCAAATTATCATGTTGCTTATATTTCCCAGGATTCGCAGCATCACTTCCGTTCACACAAATACAAGCATGGCGATTATTTGCATAATAGGTCTGTTCCATACAATTAACTGACAGATAATCCAACTGTGTAGGGCGGTATTTCCATTTATCCACTATCGATTTGTACTTCCGTTTTACCATGCATGTGACCTGTTGGTGTTTGGATGTATAAATACAGTCGCCATAATCAGATCTGTTGAAGCTATAAATTATTTCCCTTCCGTCCAGAAATCTGACATCAAACGTAACGACGTCATCAGAAGCTGCCTTAGTACTGGATATTGTTGTGAGAAAAAATGTAGATAAAATAAGCCACAGCATCTGTAAAAAAAGAGATATATTATATACCACATTAACAACGCGTTAAAAAATCAAATTGAAAGTTTATCATGTAATTGTGGAGCATTCCGAGGGAATTTACATTTATATTGACTTAATGGACCACCAGTTAAACAAGTACGGACACTATAAGTTCGCTTCATCTAACAATGACAACGCTTGACTAAAAGTACATAATATGTCGATCTTTCAAAGATATATCTGCACTGCTTATATTTTACCGTAAGCATAGAAAAACGAAGGATGTGTGGTATCCATCCATGACACAAAATCTGAACATGCACAGCAAAAAAAACAACATAAAGAGCAAAGGAACAGCGCTTTTATTGCTGTTCTTCATCTCAAAGTCACAGTGAGGCCTTCAACACGGAGTAAAATAACTCTCACCTCCTAACTGCACAAATAATTTGGATATATTTGAAAGGTGTAACACCACCAAATCCGGCCCGGTCAAAAAAGAACATACTTGAAAGTAGTACAGATTTAAAACAAAATATTTCCTATGCATAGGTTTTAATATAATTTTAGTAATTAAGGTATCAGATGAAAGGTGAAGGACTGGTGATCCTTGTAGAACAAATATTGACTGATAATTTTGAATAATATAAAAATGTATGAATGAATTCTAAAATTGAGTGCATATATTGCCTGTTTTTCAGAAATGAAGTACCTAGTTCGGTGTATCCGAAAATTCTGGGAAATGTTTATTTTTGTTCTTGTTATTGATTTGCTTAGATTTTGCTGATTTTATTTACAGCAATTGAATTTTTTTTTTATTAAATTGTTTCTTATTTTTTGTTTTTTTTTAAATTTTATATTCAATTAACACGTCGTAATTAATATGCATGAAATATTTGGCACTGACCGATAAACATACAATTATGGCCGTTATGTCATAGATTTTAATGAACGTAATCAATGCATCACTGGTAAATTATTAAGTCAGGGATTTCGTTACCATAAACTACGTAAAACTTTTACTAAGTTCTTTCATAGATTCAAAGATTTGATTAGTAAATTTGGCTGTACCTGTAGAAAACTGATTAAAAATGGTATTTCACATCCTAAATTTTACGGTAATATTGTACTTAAAGAGCGGAAATCACTATGCGATCCGTGTAAACTCATCGAACCTTTGAACAAACTTATTAGTAAAGGTTATCTTACCAATGTTGTAATTAGATCTTTGAATATAGTTTACAATGGCACTAATATCGATTTTGTCATCAGCAAATTAAAACATAACTAAATTTGTATTCTTTTCAAACGGGATGTATAAAGACACACCCACGTTCATTTTGATCTATAAAGCGGTTAAACTCCTAACTATCCTACTGTCTGTCGATACATTTATTTTTGGCATTGCACAAGTCATGTCTTCTTTGACTGTCCATGACGTTAAAATACTAAATCCCTGGGATGTGTTTTAGTTGATTTTAGTCTCTGATGCATGATTTTTTTATTATTAATTGTTTTGGTTTTTAACTAGCTGTCTGGAACTACGAGTACTCTCAAATCGTACTTTCTTGTTTATTTGACCTGTTGATACTAATTGTAATTCTTTTTTGGTATTTAATGTTATTCAGGGTTATATCTGGTCTATATACCAGCTTTGATAAGTGTTTGGTATGACTATAAATTTTCACTTCGTACTATGAACATCAAAATTATTTCCTTTCTCTATTGGAACTGTACACGTATACCTAACAACAAAATTATTTTCATTTACCTGTGTTTAAATTAATTGCAAATGGCTGATATTTTTGTTCGAGCATATTGTTTTTCTTAAATTGTTTAACATCTCATACCGGTATAACATGTTACTTTTATTATTCTTCCCTTAGTTTATTTATTTTGTATTTGCATTGTGTCATAGGTCAAATTTATTTGTTCAGTGTATGTTCACTGGTGTTAATATGTCCTTTGATTGAGTTAAGCTATTTCAGTTGATATTTTATAGTGTGTCTTTCTTGTTGTGATGTTACACTATTGTTTCAGGAAAAAGGGTGAAGGTTTGGTACCATTAAAACGTTTAAACCTGCTGCATTTGTTTGCACCTGTCCTAAGTCAGGAATCTGATGTTCAGTAGTTGTCGTTTGTTGATGTGTGTTTCTCGTTTCTCGTTTTTTATATAGACTAGACCGTTGGTTTTCCCGTTTGAATGGTTTTACCGTACTAGTAATTTTTGGGGCCCTTTACATCTTACTGTTCGGTGTGAGCCAAGGCTCCGTGTTGAAGACTGTACTTTGACCTATAAAGGTTTACTTTTATAAATTTTGACTTGGATGGAGAGTTGTCTCATTGGCACTCATACCACATCTTCGTATATCTAATTAATCAATTATCAGGTCATAATTGTTTGAGACTTTAAACGGCATGCCACAAAAGATGAATTGTCGATGTCTTAACTAATATAATCATAAGTTTGTTCGATAACTCGATTGATCCTCATGAATTTTCTGATAAGGTTAGTGTGTTCGATCAACCACAATCATGCCAGAAAATGACAATACACCAGAGAGTTTGTTGCAAAACGATTTTTCAATTCACAATAGAGGTAAACGTACGAAGTGTTTAGCCTCCACTTCAACTCTCAACTAACAAAAACATTCCTCGAGTATATACCATGTTGTATTTGTTTAATTATTCGTTAAATGTTATATGAAATTGTACATCCTTGACTTATGCCCAACACCAAGTTAAATATTTTTAAACACAACAAAATTATAATTTATTTATTAGATATCCCAATTGTTCGACGAAAATATTTCAACAATTTCTTTATGGTATACATGACTATTTTTTATATTTATATTACTGAATTCACGCAATAAAATTTCTGTTGTCATGAGCCTTTGTGATGTTGTAAGCTTTATAGGTACTTTTCCATGTTAAGTAAATTACAATTTATATATTTATATTTACCAAATCCTTGTTTTTGTTAATTCTTTGCTTTTATACTAGTTTGTTTTGTTTTTCATTTTATTTTGAAGTTTGTGTTTTTTGTAGTTTTGTTTTTATTTTTATTTTTTTTCGTTTTTATATAAGGATTCGTGTTTTATTGTTTTCGTTTTTATATGACGGTTCGTGTTTTAGATTGTTTTCGTATTTATACGGGGGTTCGTGTTTAGATTGTTCTTTTGCCTTATCATAAACGTATCTTGGTTTGTATTTTCCGCGTATATTATTTTATTTCGGGGCCTTTTATAGCTTAATATGTGGTATGGGTTTTGCTCATTGTTGAAAGCCGTACGGTGACTTAAGATTTTAACTTCTATGTTATTTGGTCTCTTGTTGGGAGTTTTCTAATTGGCAATTATACAACATCTTCTTATTTTCATATTTTTATAAGTATCTGAGATTTACAGTCGTAAAATGTTTATAGGTAGATTTCTCCTAGTCCTTTTCTATTTTAAACTTCAGTGGAAAAAAAATTGTATGAGTCTAGACAATGTTTACATGTAAATGTAAAATATTTACATTCATACATGTATGTTTATCTATAATTGTAAATAATACAAAGAGTGTAAGGAAAAGATATGTAGTTTAGATTGTACAGGTTGTTCCCACATGCATTGAGAAAAATTCATAACAGGTAACACTGAAGTCTCTTCGTGTTAATATGCAAATGCGGAAGTACATTCATTCAAAATAATTCATAATCATATATGAATAATATATATTTGGTTTAACATGCGTATATACATGACATACGTTTAATCGCATGGCAGCTTCCCATCACGCAACATTTTAGAATATTTTCTATTGCAATATTGTCAATCGATGATGTATTGTCAAAATATTTTGTTCGAGAAGTCACAAGACAAAAAGTCTTAATTAATTTGTTTACAATCGATTGAATATATTAAAGAAATATTTCCTATGAAGTAAATTCAATGTATAGCAGGTCTAAAAATCGTTCATGACCATTTTTAAATGAGGGTCTGGATTGGGGGTGGGGGGTGCCTTTATTTCTATATTAACCGCCTCGGTGATCTCGTGGTAGCGTGTTTGCCTCGAGTGCGGATGTCTTGGGTTCGAACGCCGGACGGGTCAAACCATAAACCTTAAAATTGGTATTTGCTGCTTCTCTGCATTGAGGAGTAAGAGCAAATACACTGGGTCGGTTCGCAGTCAGAAAAATGTATCCGGGTAAGGTGATATGTCTTCCTGCGACTGTTACCTTGTGAACTAGCACGTTAAAAATCCGGCTTAGCGTGTCGATCAAGTACAAAGCAGGGTTAATATTTATATTACATTAACATGTTCTCGTCCTGAATAGGCATATTAATTTGCCGCTGGACATAAAGCAGCCATTCATCATCATCATCATGATTTGTGTATTCTTTAATTTTTTAGTTCTTTTTTCTATTCTTTATATGTTTTGCTCGTTATTCTCTATTCTTGATATTTTTGCACCCCATTTTATCTATTCCTTTTTTTTTTTTATCATTTTTCTGTAGATTTGGTTCATCATTCTCTAATATATAAACCCCATCCAGACCCTCCTAAATGAATATTTATTAATTTTAATCATTCATTATTTGGTGTACACAATGAATCCTTTCAATTAACAGGACAGCTTTTTTTCTAAACAATAATTTGATAATTATATATTACAGTAAACGTTGTTTACACAGTTGATATTAGAAAAAAAAACACTCAAAATTTGATTTTAAAAATCATTGAAATCATTTCTGAAGGTCTGGGTGAGGTTTCCAGAATACAAAGATTAGTTTGCCAAAAAAAATGAAGAATAGAGAAAAACGGGTTAAAAAAGACGGACAGAATAACGGACAACACAAAGTAAGAATAGTGAAAAATTAAAACAATACAGAAATGTAGTCCCCCTTCCTAATGCAGACCCTCGTTTATTAATATAAAGGAAAATTTCAAAACTGAATTGTAACTTTTTATCCTAAGATTAAGATGTCTTGTGACTTTCTGTCTGTCATGTTTTGTCCTAAATTTTCATTAAATGCGTTCTATACATCTATATATAGGCAGACGACAGGTGAGGTTTTCCGAACTCACTATATTACAAGCTAGTTTTATACTTAGTATCCTATGCTGATGCAATGTTATGATGTATAATGATATATGTGTATAATTATAATAACCTAGACGATAATTTTTACATCTAGTCTACTTGAAATATGTTAGTAGAGAATAAACATCAAAGGTATAGGTTATAAAATCGTCTAGAGTCAAAAGTACTTGTATAATGACAACTTATACAGGAAGTTACAAATGTTAGTTTTCACTCAAATATTAGAAGATGTAATTTGTGTTGATGTTTCAATTTGTGTACTTATAATAGAAAAACAAAGGATATTGGGTATCAATCCGTGACACAAAATCAGTACATACACAGCAAAAAACTACACAAAAAGCAAATGAACAGCGCTTTTATTGCTGTTCTTCATCTCAAAGTCACAACCAGGCCTTCAACACGGCGCAAAAAACTCTCACCTCACTGCAAGTTTAAGACGGCTGTTAGCACCGGCTTGAGCGGAATGCTTTGTAAAATTAATTCATTATACAATTATTATATATAATTTATTATGTCTAATTTAAAACAAAAGTCCTAAAATCGACAGTCCGGAATAAATTGCAAATACCTATGCCCAACCTATATGATTTTGGTGATGATATATAGTTACTTTGCCAATTCTCCACCAAAGACAAAAAGACGTAGAAGTTAACAACTGTAGGCCATCGAACGGCCTTCAACAATGAGAAAAAGCCCACACCGCATAGTAAGCTATATAACAGGCTCCAAAATGAAAAATGTAAAACAATTCAAACGAGAAATCTAACGGCCTAATTTATGTACAAAACAATATGATATACATCAACAAATAACAACCACTGAATAACAGGCTCCTAACTTGGGACTGGCACAAGGAGATTTATGAGAATGTGGCAGGGTTAAATATGTTTGCCTGCGCCAAACCCTCCCTTTTATGCCCCACTTATGTGACAGTGGCTATGATGACAATATACTAGTACTTATATTGGAAGGAATTTTGTTAATTGTTTTTCACTTTGACATGCCTGGTCCATATTATAGCTTACTTTTATAAGTCTTGTTCATTGTTGAAGGCAGTACGGCTGTAATTGTTTCATCGGCATCTTATAGACTTTGGTGGATAGTTCATACCACATCTCCTTATCTTAAACATTACTTTACATCCACCCCCTTTTGTTTTTGGAGGATAGTTGTCTCACTGGCATGAATATCACATCTAATTCTTTATATTCCTGCCCTGTTGTCGTTATCGTCCTGAACATGCATGAAATATTTGCCACTGGACGTTAATCAGCGAACAATCAATCAATTTTGTTGGAGAATGTGTCTCGCTGTCAGTCATGCATGTTCATATCTCCTTATTTTCAAAATAATGGATAAATAGCAAAGAGAACAAATTTGAAGCAAAATACAGGTACACTGGGCAACAGGGTCACACTGTAGTTGGGCTTTAATCTGTCTGAACATTTCTAATGTGTTAACCTTTTTAAAATCTTTCATACCATTTCAGAGTTCAGGGACGGATTTACGGGCGTTGGAAAAGGTTCTGTTTGTTAAAATTATGTGACACTGTAGTAAACGCAGTGTAGAGACTTAACTGTTAAAAAAAACAATTTTGATCCTCAAATTTATTATTGAAAATTATCAGCACGTGGTATTGTACATTTCGTTCGTTCCATAACAATGTGTAATCATAATACAACAGAAAAACTGACCAACGGATTTCAGCTTATAACGACAACCACTGGACTACAAGCTCTTGATCTTGAACATGCACAAACAAAAATGTGAAAGGATTAAGCATCTTTGTGAGCGATAAATCATCCCGCCTTATAATCAGGAAAATGGTGCAACAGCAAAGTTGAACATAATGATAAACTGCTATAATCATGCAGTTGGAAAGGGCTTTGTTGACTGTCATGATCAGATCGACACGAAGCGCCACCTATAGATACACGCAATTCCTGAAAGATACCCAAAGTGCAATATCAACGAGCAAATAAACGATGTTTTCCCAAACTTATCAATAAAATGTCTTTGTATGTGTGTACATGCATTGAATTGGAAAAAAAAGACGTACAAAAAATAAAATCATACCTTAGACAAGTTTTTTTTTTAAAGTTCCTTTTGGTTGTATGCCTCTTTAGGTATTTATATAAATTTTGTTTTCCCAACTTATTGCACTGAGTCCATGTGCATCGAACGTAAGACTGTTTCCCTTAAACTTTGAATATATACATACGTACATGTATAAGTAAATGTGTCAAAAACTTACCTTTTGAGATTCAACTCCGCTAAATGAATTGAACAGGTCCCATCAATACTCCAAGAAAATGTTATTATAGGAAAATGATTTATGGTTTATTTTGGCTGTTCCTCTTTTGAAAATATACTTGTCGGAAGGAATATGTGTAAACACTGCCAAAGGCTTGGACATTTGTCAAATTTGTGGAGGAACTCTTGAGGAGAAATTTGTCAATGGCATACGGTCTTTATTACCCGCGGCTATAGTTTTATATAATACACGTAAACTATATTTGATTGACAACGGTAATATGTATATGTATAAGATCTACAAGTACATGATAAGTGTATTTAAGCTGTATAAGTCTAAATTAAGACAAGATAATTTAAATTTGTAAACAATGATAATAATAAAATTGATAGATTTATTACAAAGCAAATTACGGTTGTAAAATTTTGACATGTGTAAAATTACGTCATCTTCTTGGAGATGGGAAAATTATTGTCTCAAGTGTAGATCCTATGCAATGTTGCGAATTCTTTCTTTAGCAAACAGGCAGTAAAGTTAGATTTTCTAAAAGAAATATAAATAATGATTATTTTTTCATAACTTTTCTAGCATGAATGTAGGACAGAAAGTCAGACAGAAAACAAAAAGTAACAGACTACTTTAGTCTCAGTTTCGTTTAACGATGTTTTTTTTTTTATATTCCTTGAACTATTATATATATGTTAAAAAACGCTATAAACACTTTTGTTTACAGAAAAAAATAATAGTTTGATAATCGCCGAAAAAGAAGACGTGACGGTAAAACGGCTCGTCGCTAGAATGACTTCATGTTGCCAAGAAATATATCCTTTGTATGATTAAAGTTTTATAATCTTCGTTACCGATTATAGAAAACAATTTCTGAAATTAGATGCATGAGGGTCTGGATTAAGCAGAGGCGGATTTAGGGGGGCAGGGTACCCGGGTCCCCCCTTTTGTGGGAAAAATTTGGTTGATTATTTAGGGAATCACTGAAGCATGACTAAGCGGACCGCCTCTTATGGGCCCCCTTATGAAAATATCTGGATCCGCCACTGTGGGAGTCATTCATTTTTGTATTTTATTTTTGTAATTAATTTTTTGTGTAATTTTCTCTATTCTTTATATTTAAGCACCCCATTGTTCTCTATGCGTTACTATTTTGGCCTATTTTTGCTCTTTTTATTTAATTTTTATAGCCCTTTTTTTCTGTAGATTGGACTCATTTTCTCTATTCTGTAAATCCCATCCAGCTTCTCAAGCATCTTCCAGAAGGAAATTACTTCCAGAGATTTCACTTACGCGATTGTAATAACTGATCGAGTGTGACTTTTTGTCTTATGACTTTCTGTCTGTCTACCTATATACGACAAACAATTAAACAAAATTTAACTTCAGCGGCAAATATTACATATATATTCAGAACAACAATGAACACTAGACCGACAATCTGAACCTGATTTTTAATATGGCAACTTACTAAGTAACTTTCGGCCTCAGCATGCCACCAATCCCGGACACATTATTCCAAGAGGTTCCGCATAAGTATGGCAGAAGAGACTGATAACATGCACACTCACGACAATACATGTACTTGTGAATATTATACATATATGTAAATTGTAACCAGCAAAATCATTTGTGACTGGCCAAGATAGTTAAAACAGGCAAAATCAATTATTTAACCAGATTATTAACATTAGCCTCCATAAAAGAAATGTAGATCTTCAGTTTTATTATTGTGCAACATAACCCCGCCTTTTTTTTTTTTTTTTTTTTTTTTTTTTCGTGTTGCTGAATATTAAGTGTGTTACGTAGTGATTTGTAAGCTGTTGTTTTGTTTTGTATCACTGTCCAAAATCGACCACAGTTTTAGGTTGGGTTAATGTTTATACTGATTTATGAAGTGTAGGTTGTTGTCTTTTCGTTATTTTGTCACTCTCTCTTTAGTTTAAACATATTTTATTTGTTCAAGTACAAATTGGATAAGACACAAGTCAAACAGACTTATGAAGTCTTCTCCATTTAACATTTAGAGCAATATAATACAAAATATATGTATGAGCATGCATGTATAGAATGGTATATCTATTTAATATATATATATATATATATATATATGGATTTATGTCAAAAGACAGAAAAGTGAAGACAGAAAGAAAACAATCTCTCTCTTTGACTTGTCAGTTTTGAATTTCCCTTTGGTATCTTCTGCCCACGTGGGGGGAGGAGGCCTCCGAGGGGTTACTTCCTATTCATGATTGGGTATACGGGGATGTGCCAAAAATATGGGTCATAATTTAAGATTTATATAAGAATGACCTTTTTAATGACATCCTATATTAAAATGCATTTACATTTGATAACTGTATATTGATTTGGGGTATGATCTACTTATCATATATAAATATGCTAGTGAGAATCTTACATTATTAATTGTCAATTATTATATTAAATTAAATCAACTCATTTGAAAGTTCGCCTTAATGGTAGCTGCATATACATGAATTATGAGTGATGATATAGATTTAGTGCTTATATAAGCATGAGTCCTATTTCAAATATTGTATATAAGTATAGATTATTCTTTCTTAATATTTATATAACTATAGGTACTGAATTTCAGTGAATGTTATATTAAAATGGGTACGTTTTTTGAGGCAAAAATGGCACACCCCTACCAAAAAAATATCGAAGTTACCCCCCGTGCTTCTGCCTCTTTTTTTGTATAATACTGACATGCATTTTCTGTAGTTATGATTTAAGTGTATTTACTAATTAATTGTGATGACCAAACAATGATGACTTGTAGGTCAATCAATACATTTGATGCAGTTGTGTTTGCACAGATAATGCACCGTTACAAGCAATACAGATATACATGTTGTCTGCTCTTTGCTTTGGTCGGGTTGTTGTCTCTTTGACATATTCCCCATTTCCATTCTCAATTTTATTTGACATTTATCTCATTAAAACATCAGCATAAAGGGCAGATTTCACACTTATTCACGGGTTCTCATAATTCTTTCTATAGTTTCATATGAAATTTAAGTTATAGACATATCACCGGGTTTGTACTTACATGAGCAACACGACGGGTGCCATATGAGGGACAGGATCTGCTTCAACTTCCGGAGCGCCTGAGATCACCCCCCGTTTTTGGTGGGGTTCGTGTTGCTCAGTCTTTGGTTTTCTATATTGTTTTGTGTACTATCGTTTGTCTGTTAGTCTTTTTCTTTTTTAGTCATGGCGTTGTCAGTTTATTTTCGACTTATGAGTTTGAATGTCCCTTTGGTATCCGTCTCCTCTTTTTTAAGTTAATCTTTCAACAACAAATTGTTTAATCTTCCCTGTGAATGGGGTGGCGAGACCAAGCAACCACAATGCTGATGTATGATATACAAATAATCTTTCAATGCTAATTAGTTACATGAATCTCCAACCAGAAATAAAACTAATACTTGAACAAAAAAAATCTTAGAGGGAAAATCTGGTCAAAGTTGTGTTTAATGGTTTTTTTCCATCTACTTGCTGGTAGGTTTTTGATGGTTAAAAAAAAACATAGACAAAATATTAATATCATGCATGGGAAAAATATTTAAGATTTGTTTTTTGAAAATCTTAGAAATTGGGATTTATATAGGGACATTTCAACTTCTGCTAGATGTATTTCCTAAATCATTACATTGTTTATGGTTCAAGATAAAAACATTATATGTTGATGTATAGCTATCTATATAAAATTATTGAACAAGAATGATTTTGAAGTTAAACAAGAGTGCACACGCTGAAATGTCTCGCCTTCTTTACTAATCATTGGTATTATGTTGATAGTTCTAAATATAAAGCTTTACTACAACTATCATATAAACTTAACATGATCCAAGAAAATGAGGTCAAGGTCATATAAACCAAACAAGAAATACATGTACAACTTACAATCATTCAATACACTAAATATAGTTGACCTATTGCTCATAGTTTCTAAGATACAGACTTAACCAAGAAAACTAAACATTGACTAATGAACCATGAAAATGAGGTCAAGGTCAGATGAACCATGCCAGGCAGACATGTACAGCTTGCAATCCACAAATATAGTTGACCTATTGCTTATAGTAATAGAAAAACAGACCAAAACACATAAACTTAACACTGAGATATGAACTGTGAAAATGAGGTCAAGGTCAAATAAAACCGGCCGGACTGACATCATAAAATATTTCCATACACCAAATATAGTTGACCTATTGCATATAGTATTAGAAAAAAAGACCAAAACTCAAAAATTTAACATTGACCACTGAACCATGAAAATGAGGTCAAGGTCAGAAGACACCTGCCAGCTAGACATGTACACCTTACAATCATTCCATACACCAAATATAGTAGACCTATTGCATACAGTACAAGAAAAACAGACCAAACACAAAAACTTAACTATAACCACTAAACCATGAAAATGAGGTCAAGGTCAGATGACACCTGCCAGCTGGACATGTACACCTTACAGTCCTTCCATACACAGAATATGCTAGACCTATTGCTTCTAGTATCTGAGATATGGACTTGACCACCAAAACTTAACCTTGTTCACTGATCCATGAAATGAAGTTGAGGTCAAGTGAAAACTGTCTGACGGGCATGAGGACCTTGCAAGGTACGCACATACCAAATATAGTTATCCTATTACTCATTATAAGAGAGAAATTAACATTACAAAAAATCTTAACTTTTTTTCAAGTAGTCACTGAACCATGAAAATGAGGTCAAGGACAATGGACATGTGACAGAAGGAAACTTCGTAACATGAGGCATCTATATACAAAGTATGAAGCATCCAGGTCTTCCACCTTCTAAAATATAAAGCTTTTAAGAAGTTAGCTAACGCAACCGCCGGATCACTATCCCTATGTCGAGCTTTCTGCAACAAAAGTCGCAGGCTCAACAAAAATTGTATAGTATGTCTCTTATGTGCGTTTTTCTTCCTGGCTGGCCAGTAGGTTTTGAAAATTTTACTTGATGCAAAACAAATAAATAAACTGTTGACATAAAAATATGTCTCACCTGTATACAATTTTAATAGTAAAATGCAAACATTGAAATTAAAATACCAATACTGGTAAATGTAAATTATGCAAAATACTCAGTCAATGAACTATGATTGAAGGAACATGCCCAAGTAATTTCTGAGGTATAAGATATGCCAATGCTAATACAACTTCATACTGAATATCATCGACTTATCATAAGTGGTTCTGCTTTTACAGACCTAATCACAAACTTTAACATGTGACTTATGCAAAAGTTTCAAAGTGAATAGACCATGACTGATGGGACAGGACCAAATAATCTCCATGGAAGTGAGATGTACCAATGCTTATACAACCGCATACCAAGTATTATTGATATACTTTTATCATCATAAAATTTGACAAATTGTTTACACCACTGCCACTGGAAACAGTTTACCTAAGTCTCGCTATTTTATTTTTTCAAGACAAATATAAACAGAGGTTCAGATCCACGCAAAGATCAACTCATTATATAAACATAGCTTGATCACTTAAAATTATTACAGATTTAAATGTTACAAAGGATCCATGACTTTGAAAAAAGCATTCTATGTCAATTGGTCTCTGGTGGAGAGTTGTCATTGGCAATCATATCACATCTTCTTATTTTTATATTGAATGATGATGGAGTGCTGTTTAATTTTCAGAAGCAAATTAAATGCAAATTTAGAACATGTTAATGCAATATGAATATGAACCTGGCGAAAGAAAGACAGGTCACCTTAACCATACACATTATTCCGAGTCACTGCTATTATTTCTTAATACAATATGATTAGGGGAGAAGCAGCAAATACCAATATTTAAGTCTTCAGTTTGACTGGGCTGTGGATTGAACCTATGCCACCTCCATTCAAGCCAAGAATACAACCACATGACCACCAGGTTAAATATCAATGACAAACGTCAAACTACTTAGAAAAAGATTTATTTTAAGTCAGTGTATAAATTATTCTCAAAAATGTCACATTTCATCCACAACTGACACATCAGCATTTTATCATATGATATTTACAAATGATGAAAGATGATGATAATTTATACATAATGTCATAATTTACTTTGTTGCATATATGATACAATGTATTACAATGACATAGAGATGATATTTCATGGATGATAACTGTTCAATTCACATTTGAAGAATTGTATATTTAAAATATGATCGGTAATGAAACTGCTGTTTTATTTTTTCCACAAAAAATATATTAGTCTAATTAATATAAATTGTAAATTGATTTCAGTATTACACGGAACTTGGCAACTCAGAAATGTTTTTAATATAATTTTAAGTCAAATAAATTTCTCCTGCACACTTTGTACAATTTATAAATACAAATAGTTCAACTTATTATTTATTTTCATAACTAAAAAAAAGTCTCCCTAAAAAATCCTACAAGTTGAGATGAATTTTCTATTATCAATTAATGAAAGCAATGAAAAATTTCAAATCCTTTCTCCAATAAATTGTACAAAAGCGATGTCTTCTAAAGGTAATTGTATTTCTAAAATAGCCAAAAATACAAATGAAAATTCACAACAAATGAGTAATACACAACATTCACTCAAGCTCCTTCTTTCAGACTAAATATCTGAGAGTTCACATCCACTACCAAAATAGATATTGAAAAAAAAAATGAAAGATTCACTAACTCATTATAAATGTTTATAAAAAAAGTACTTTGATAAAATGGATAAAGAAACAAACAAAAATTCTCATAACAGGTAGTTGCTACTATGCCATATGTGCCCAAAAATTGTAACTTCACAACCTATCTATAAAGCAGTGATGTAAAACTAAGCATATCACAAAACCTATACCTGTATTTTATTAGATACGTATATGATATATCAAGGAGAGACAATGTTTGTATTTTGCTAAAGCGTTCTACATTAAATTCAATATAATTTATAATTTTTCTATAATGAATTTAATGCGATCTTCAATTTTTCGACATTAAAATTAATGTAAATTATAATTTGTCTACATTAAATTTAAAGTAACTTACCATCTTAAAATTAAATTCAATCTAATATATAATTTTTCTCCAATAGAGTTACAAAAATTGTAAAAGTTGAGTAATCAGTACAAATGTGTAATACAGACCAAACTCATTTGAAAAAAATAAAAAAGTCCTTTAAAGTATCTTTTTAACTAAACAAAGATTTAAAATTATATTTGAAAAATAAATTAAATGCTTTCCCAATTCTGATACAATTTAATTTTTATTTAAAATAATAGGTTACTTTTTGTCCCTATGGCTGTTTCAATTTTATTTTCCCTTAATTGAATTTGTTTAACATAATGATTAAAGCAAATGACCTATGACCCTATAACACAAAGATTGTAATACCTGATCAGGAAGATGTCTGATAAATGAATTATGGCACATTATCTAAGATTTTGTAATTAATGACAAAAAGCTAATGGTTTTTGGTGATGCTGAACATTTTATGATTGATTGATCGATTGATTGTAGCTTGTTTAACGCTGTACATATCAAGCCTGAAAAACAACATGGCACTGTTGTTCCAACTTATTTAAACCAGGTTAAAAATTTAACCTCAGGTTAATTGCATTACATTACTATTAAATGTTAAACCAGTTTAAAAAGTTAAACAACTGGTTCTGATAAATGTATAGATGAAACGAAAAATTTGAAGAAAAATAAATTCAATGTTTGTTAATACTTATTGTTAATTCAAAATACCTCAAAGTTTAAAAAAAAGTACATTTAACCATGCCAACAAAAAATAATTTTAATTACAAGGTATAAATTTTAGTTAAGCTACTATTACAATTTCAATGTCAAAATTTTTGACTTGGAACAGTCAAAGAAATTTCGTGTTTGTATGAAAAATAGTTAAGAAAATATTTCTTTGAAATATCTTTGAAGATAATTTTGATGCACTATAACATATGGGTTTTACTGATGGTATAAAATGATATATGAAACTAAAACAAGAAAATCAATTAAAACAGCAACACAATCCCCCTACACAAATTCATTGAATTCTCAAAAAAATAAAAATAAAAAGGTAACTCTTAAGTGCAGATCTATGTATCAATAGAATATCATCTTTTTACCAATGATGATCTCCAGTTATTTTTGAACAAGAGAAGTAACACAATTTATCAGACAAATTGGTTGCCTACCAATGCAATCCCAATGAAGAAGAGTGTAACAGTTGACATAATTTTCAAAGATGTGATGTTTATCAACCAGATATATTTCATCATCATTATAACACTTAAGAATCAAATCATTGAACGTTTTATTAACAGCTTACACACAATATTTAAATGGCACTCACTTGGAAAACCAGTTTGTTAACACTAGTGAATTATCTCCCTTTTGAAAAATAATAGCAGACTCAGTCATCTTAGAATTGCCTATACTAAGTGTAAGCCTCCTCTACACTGCATAGAAGATTTTGACATACAATACATTAAAACTAAGTATCCATAATATATCTCAATTTTATAAGTATAATCTCCTTAAGTCAGCACAACACCAAGAATGCTGCCTCTACTAATTAATAATCATAATAGCCACAACAAAATAATTCTAAGATTTTTTCATTTAAAATTAGGTAAATATTAACTTTTCAAAGACACTAAAAAATTATGTTTATTTTTGAACTGTGTATGCCGTAGAAGTGACTGTTCAAGAAATATTTTCCTTTGACAATTTTCTCTTTTCATTTCAAATAAGTTTAAAGATTAATCAAAAAATTAAATTGAACAAAAAAATTAGCATTAAATTTACATAAAGCGGCTAAAAAGTTACATTTGAACATATGTTACAGATAGGCATATTCTACTATCAAATTTTGATCCATTTAATAGCCTTGGCATTGAGCTTCCCATAGAATGGCGTTATTTTCATTAATCCTTAAAACAAGAAAGTCATAGAATTATTTTGGTGTAAAGTTATCATCAATCAAAATAAAATTTACATCAAATTAAAAAAAATATCAATAAATATAGCTATGACAAATTTTAACACTACTGACATCTTACAATGCACAACATTTAAAAAATGATTTAAAAGTATTCATCTTTAATAACACTACTCTAATTGTAAATGACTGAACATCTAAATATGACATTTAAATCAAAAGGACCGTCTCAATATGAAAATATTTATACATTCTGAGACAGTCCCTATCTTATATGACAGGATTGTCACACACCCTTCACACACATTTTCAAGCAAATACACACAGTACACTTTTATGAAATTTTTCCACACTTTCTTTTTGATTAGATTTTAAATATTAATTTAGTATTGTTTCTCTACAAAAATGAAAAAAATGATCAAAATTTGTTTGCCCCATATTGTTTTATGAAAATAACAATATTTATAAGAATTCTAACCTTGTTTGACTCATTGTTTACTAAATACAGAATTTATAAGAATTCCAAATTTTTTAGACACTTTTAATTGGAATACCGTATAAGAATTCCTAATTGTCTGAAAAAGCAGAAAATACTTGATTTCAAATCTAACATTTGACGTTTACTTCAGGGCAAGGGAAATAACTACTTTGAATATATTATTTTAGTCATAATAATGATTTCCAAAATCAGATCTTAGGAAGGGATACAGCAGTAATATATTTGAAAAAATGACATGTATTAAATTGAAACTGTTTATAAAAAAACCTGATAGGAAAGAAAACAAAACAAATAAAACTTGTGATTAAAAATATACAACCATAAATCAAAACATGATTGTATACCTTATGAATACAAAGTTTCTTAGGGCATTTTAAATATGACAGGGCAGAACTTTGTTTGATTTTTCCCAAAAAAAAATATATATGAATCTAATTGATATTTAATTCTATACTGTTTGAATTGGATATTTCAGGAACCATTTTGAAATATAATATTCTCTGAAAAGTATACTTTCAAGAAAAAATTAGTATCAAATTCCATTAAAGTTTTTTATCAAGAAAATCCTTGTCTTTATAGATGAGGTACTATTTATTTCAGCTATATTTTCAGCCTTATCAAAAGAGACAATGAGAATGCACAATCTTTTGACAGAAATTCTTTTCCTGCATTTAAACTTCAAACCCTATTTTTTTTAACCCATTTATGTTATATTTCTATACAGATCCCATATTTCATATGAAAAATTAAGAGACATCTTTTTTCCTGCCAAAAACGCTTATTTTTTCAAATACTTGTATTTAAATAAAAACAATCTCACTAACCTTATCATTTGTTAATTATTTTGTGGTACATGTAATATACATACATTATCCACTTGAAAAAGACATCCTTTATGAAAAAGTAAATATTCTTAAGTACTTTGTCCTTGTAATGCTCCTACGACATCTTTGTTAATTAAGTATGATATAAAACTATTTGTGTTTTTGTAGATTTTTTCATTAAACATAACAACCAAACATCAATCTAAAACTATCCAAAACCATCTAATTTGTAAAATGTCTAATATCTATAAAAACTGTCAAATAACAAAAGTTTTTCACTAAAACAATACAAAGTCCAAAAACATGATTTACATAATATTAGAACTCTAAAATTCTGCCTAAGTCAGAGATTTCTACTTTTCAGAATTTGCTTTTTCCGTCAATAGAAGTTTATTCAACTTCTATTATTGATGAAGAATGACTTGCTGGTTAAAATAATTGATTTGTTGGTAGTAATGATGAATGTATGCCTCAGTAGCTAGCACCTGAACAGCTTTGGCTTCATAGTACGGTCTATGACAAGTGTCACTCATATGAGAATTTCTCGCCACATCATTTTATAATTCAAGTTCAATAAGCTGTTTTCCTTGCTTCATAGTCGAGTTCTTGACAAATGTCACTCATGTAAGAATTAACTCTTTGTCTCGTCACATCAATTTATAATTCAACTTCAACAGCCAATTTTCCAGGCTTTATAGTGTAGAGTCTTTGATAATGTACTAATTTTCATCAAGCCATTTTCCACATATAAACATTTTTCAAATACTAGTTTATAGTTACTGTCGTTACAAACTGGAATTTTTCTACGAAACAGCTATGAAAATCTTTTAAATTCTCACTGGCAGTCTGATAAGATGGTTCATGAAAATGTATGCATAAAAGATGTGTTATCACAAATCTATATGACTAATTCTCTAACTGTTAGCACTGGAAGTCTTGTTGTGTAATAGCATTTAAGTCTTTCATTAAACAGTCTAAGTTCTCCATTTCTGCTGTTAATTCTTCAGTACTGGCTGACTTCTGCTGTGGAGAAAATAGCAAAAAACAAACTGTTATAATATACCTATAAAGTGAAATGTACATGCAAATAAAATCAACATTTAGCATTGCTCATAGTCATAAGATCCAAGTCTGGTTTAAATGGCTTTGTATCATTTGCTAAAATATTGATATACAAGCATACCATATTCACTGAAAATGATTGAGTGTCTAATTTTAATGGTAAGCATTATAATGTGAAAACCAACTTCAATGAATATCTCACTGTCAATTTAAAGATATTGTACAAGGCTATGAAATGGCAGACCTGCCAATTATCCCGATTTATGGGGATATCCCCCATGAGAGGTGTTGACTTGAAATTTGAAATTCTTTATTATATAAACTGAACACCTCAAAACAGGCATTCAAATGAATTAAAAGGGCATTTAAGCACATACATACTCATTCAAACAATATAGTCTAACCTCGTTGTGTCGAAGTTGAAGGAACCGGACCAAAGTATTCGACTCATCTGAGGTTAGACTCATTCGAGGCCGAGTGTGTCATAAATTTGGAATGTATGAAATACGGTATAAGATTTGTGTAAACTAGATACAATGAACAGTGCGACTTTTTTTTTATGATATGACACTTTATGATTGTGTATTCAATCTCCATTTTTGGTCCTTCGTAATAATTAAACACACAAGTACAGATACAAATCATGCACAAATAAAATCAATAGTATACACAATTATTTACAAAGGTCAGTCACTATAAATTATGAAATCACTTGCGGAATGAAATAAGTTCTGAACGGTCTCTAATGAGGTCGTCTGCTTTACATTAAATTATCATGAATTTATCATAATTGTATTAATCCTTTTATTCATAGTAATTAATGAGTTTTAAATCTAACGATTCATTTAATCTCGGCTTGGGTCATTTAAATTCGTTTCGTTTTTATCTCTTGTGAAAAATGTTCAACACACTAACATTCCACTTGAACAATCAACAAAGGTGTTAATTACAGGTCACCATAAACATGTCATTTTAACTGTTATACAAACAAATATGTTAACTCAGCTTTAATCTCTTTTGAAAATGATTAGGTTGCATAAGAAATACATCTGATTTGAATTTTTATCCTTTCGAAAATTCTTACTTTCGAACTTCGAGACATCGGGGTCAATTAACATTAATTTTACATCGACTGGACTATCAAATTTACTCGACTTAACCGAGTATTCGAATCAACCGAGTTCGACTCATCAGAGGTAATTATGCATTGATCAAACAGGAATTTTACCGGGACCGAGAAATTACTTCGACTCATCCAAGTTTTCGACACAACTGAGTTCGACACAACGAGGTTCGACTGTAGTAGACTTTTTCTGAAGTAGATTAAAAACACTTATGACAATACAAGAGGAGCATTAGGTCTTGTGCTTTAAATCCCCCATGGAGATTTTGAAAAGTTGGCAGGTATGAAATGAGAACAATGAACATAGCAAAGAATTAACTACCCATTCTAGTGACCAAACTGCTAATAACTCCCTAAGCAAAATAACATGATATACAGTACTGAAGATCTTTTTCTAAGCTGGACTAATGGTTGATAGATCTTTTAAACAAATAATTTAAGTCCATACTGCCTACCATTTTTCTGTCTTATAAAAGAAATAGATTGTGACAATCTGCATAAAATATAAGAAAAGATACATATATATATATATGTGTGGCCTATGGGATGACAATTATCGTCCAAAGATTGGTAAAACACTGTAAAAGACTCCATCCTTTAACAATGCTTTGCACTAACAAGTACCCCACCCCCTCCAAAAAAAAAGCTCCATGCACTGACCTGAAGTTCTCCCTCCGGTTCTTTCCCTGTTTTCAGTATTATATCAGGAGCTTTAGGTGGTGGTGGTGTGCTGATGACAGTCATTGTCCTAGGTTTGATTGGAACACTAGATATAGGTGTAGTCTTCTTATATGGAGACTGCTGAGGTTTCACTGTAAATTAAGAAATTTCATTAAATTTACTTTTTTCTGACATTATACTTTTCATATGTTTCCTCAATTATAACCCTGTCATTTCAGATATATTTTCTGAAATGTTCCTTGTTTCTTTGCATGGTTTAACAAGGTTTGTCTCTTTTTAAAATTATCTGAAATGGTCTGCCTGTAAATGCTTATTAAAGATACCAGCGAATCAAATGTACAAAATTCTAAAAACTTGCATTAAAATAAATACTTATGTTACTATAAAACTATATCAGTTAGGAACTTGAATAAAGTTTGAGGAAAAAAGAATAATCTGTCCAAATGGGAGACAACTCTTACATTACTTTTTGACATGAACTGATTGAAAGATTGTTGTTTGTTAAACACCCTATGACTTTATTAGATCTCCAAAACTTAATACAAGCAAAACAGCAAGTTTCAATATATATATATAGTGGATTATTGGAATTATCAAATCCAGATAGTTAAATTATTGAATTCTAAAGTCTGAGCCTTGGGAACTTTAAAATTAATAATTTTAACTATCAAAACTGGATAAATCTAATAATCCATGAGTAACAATGTAAGAATCTGTTTCTTGAATAAATGAAAATCCTCTTAGAGTGCCTTCCACATTCCACAAAGTTGTCTATTTCTCTAACACCTGTAGAGTCAGATGATAAAGGTTATGACCCCTAAACTCAGCCAATCATCATCTGACATCATCTGCAACCACATATGTGAAAATTGTGGGACAGCTTTCGCAAGGTAAAAACTCAAAATCAAACTTTTTATATCATTATTTGTATGCAGCATTTTCTGAAATTGCAATAGTTAAATTGCATTTTTGTCCATTCTTTTACAAACACAATAATAAATACACACACCGATTTCTGAATTTACAACAATTGCAAGTTTGCTGTAAACCAACATTGTTCTAGATTGATAGCTCCCGTACAAACAGGTGTAATTTTAATATCTATGAGCTTACATATTATGCACCTGTTATGTTACATTGGAGGTTTATCATTTAATGACCTTTTAACTTTGTCTTTTGTTCTAATCTATAATTCTATGAAACACCTACAAATTAATTAATAATCCACCTACAAAGTTTTCTGTCCACTATGGTAAATTTTTGTTAAAGTAATCTACAAAGGAACATAAACTAAAACTAAAGGAAAAAGCCAGAAGCAAACTAAGAATGAAAAAGAATGAAGTATCTATGAGTCTATAAATAACTGGTGTTTTGGGTGTGTTTGTTTTGTTATTAGTATACGGTGTAATGGGTGTATTTGGTTCATAAGTTAAAGAAAACAGACAAAATGTGATTAAAAAATGTGATCAATAAAACTAAATTTTTTCATATAATTCTTCTACCAATCTTCAAACACATATAAAACCTCAATAACATAAGCAGTAGTAAACATTCATCTTATTTTTCAAAACAATATCAAGTGTACTGTATAAAAAAATATTTTTTAGAGTACTGTTCACAAAATTTATGATAATAAAATTAACGGTACCAATTTTTCTCATAACTTGAGAAATTTGTGAGCACAACACATATGCCATTTTCACTTTATGCTCATCAATCAACTGTTGTTGCAAATAAACAAATCAAATCAAATCTCAATTTAGAGTATAATGATAAAGAAATTTGACATCTTCAAAAACGTTCATAGTTGCCAAACTTGGTTTGAAATCTGATCTCAAGTGAAAACCAAAAAAGTATACAGTACAATTCAAACCCCATCAGGTTATTCCATTCTACTAAACATAGTTTTTCATTGACAAAATTTGAGTTATTTCCCTTGGTCAATTTGTTGGAAAGCAAGTTTGATAAAAAATCCTTTATAAATCATAGTGATGAATTATACAAGGCAAAAACAAATACAAAATGTTCTTAATTTAAGTCTACTGGTCAGTGTAACCAGGACATATATATTGACATTATATATACTGTTCCCAGGTTTGGCTGATCTATGAAGGAACTTGTGGCTATGCCCTCAAACATGGAAACAAAGGGCATTAATTCTAAATTAAAACTTTGGCGACGAAAAATTAAACAAATATTTACTTAAAGGACTATTTTAGTGTTATGAACTTGTTAACAGGAATGATTAGAATCATCTAAAGAAGATTAAATCACAATACATTAACACCAACACAAATCATTTTTGTCTGTTTTCAACACAGTTAAATTAATTTGAACATTCCATCACCACCTAAGGGTTATCATCTATAGGTAGATACATACCAATCTGATGTTTGGGGGTCAGGCCACCATGTTTATGTCCAAGAGGGGGTGGGGTTGGCACACTGAAACTTCTCATGGGATGCATGTTTCTAGGCAGACTTTTGTGGACCTCACAATGTCGAGGAAGACTTTTATGGCCATCGTTTATCCGTTTATCTGGAGTAACGATGGCCGTGGGCTGAGAACGTCCGGTAATGGACAGGGCTTCTGTGGAACGAGCTGAAAACATGGATTTCAGTTTTATAGACTTTTCTTAGGATGTGTTTTTTTTCTTTTTCTTTTACAAATTCTTGTTGATCATGAGAAAAAAAATTTAAAACGCTGGTAAATCATTTTCACTGTTTTGCCATAATTTCTGACAAGGTAAGTCAAATTTTACTAGAAAATATTCATCGAACTAAACTATCACCTTATTGTATTGCATTGATGGTTACTTGATGTCCAATGGCAAATATTACATGCATATTCAGGAAAGAAGCACATTTATGCAATGTAAACATTAACCTGCTTTGTACAAGCGTGATAAACTGACATGATGAGCAGGATCTAAAATATGTTTCCTCATTAATTAAACATTTGACAGAAGACATGTAATCACTACCTGGACACTGTATTTAGACTTCAAATTGACCAGTCATTGCTCATAATCCTGTATGAAGCATGTATGCTAGAAAAACAGCAAATGCGAGTTTTTAAAGTCTTTGATTTGACCCAGAATATAATGTATCAAACTATCATGTCCTGCATATGACACAAGTACACTATTGCGGAAAAAAGTCAAATAACAAAAATACCTAACTCCAATGAGATTTGCAAAAAAGCTCAAACACATCAAACAAACGGAAAACAACTGTCATATTCCTGACTTGGTACAGGCATTTCATTATGTAGAAAATGGTGGATTAAACCTGGTTTTATAGCTAGCTAAACCTCTCACTTGTATGAGTCGCATAGAATTCCATTATATTAACAATAAGGTGTGAGCAAAACAAAGACAACCTAAGCAAATACTTTTGAAATTAAGTGACAACAACTGCACACTGGTTGTACTTTGATTCAATTGTTTATTTGGATTGGATTATGTTATCTCTGCAAAACAAACAAGTTGCACTGTGAGCCATTGCTCACTAATGATACCAATGCTATAAGTATTCGGTTAACAGGAAGTTAATGAACGAAGGCTGTGAAAACACATTGCATATCATGTTCACAGGAAGCTTAATGCTAAATGTGTATCAAAATTTCAGTAAGTATTGATACACATTAATTTGATGAGCAATGGATTTGAAAATGCCTCACACAGCGTAGCACGCTCACATGAATACTTAATAACAAATTTAATGGGATAGAGGTTATAGTGATATGCAATTTTCTTAATATTATTCACAATGTAAAATTTTGACAGATTATAATTTCCATTTAGATTTGATTTGATTGATTGGTGTTTAATGCCACTTTCAACACAATTGTGCTATTTCGTGGCTGTTAGTTTTTATTGGTGGAGGAAGCCAGAGTGCCCAGAGAGAACCATTGATCTTAGGTGAGAAAACTGACAATCCTAGTCAAATAAGATTGGAGTCGAGTGCACCTGCCACGTGCAGAAATAGAACTCACAATCTCAGTATTGACAGGCTAAGGATACAGTAGTTCAACTACTTAAGACCACTCAGCTACCGAGGCCCCGTTCCATTTAGAACATGAATTGGGAATGACCAATTGTCATAAAGATGGAAATTGTATCATGTTTTGAAACAGTCCATGTAAATTTTCTTGTAAGTTATATGATCAACAAGAATTTGTAAAGTTTTTTGAATGATTATGAATGGAAAAATTAAAGTACCATTTGGATGTAATATGAATCTAAATGAACAAAACCCACTTACTGTCATATTTGAAAGTACTAGTTGACAAAAAGGTAAGATTTTCAATTTGCTGTTTGAAGAAACTTTTAAATAATACATGTACAATATTGTTAATTCTATTGTAATTCTGGAAATTTTCCAACTAGAAAGGTATTATATCATTTTCTGAATTTTTTTTCACTCATAACAATGCACCCCAATACAATTACTTCTGTACCAGAGATGACATAATCAAGGATAATTTTTTCCAAAATCTAAACACATGCCACTTCGGTGTTTTACATTAAAACATTAAGAAGAATTGTTCAGCTTTTAAATCTTTTCAAATATGATAGCAAACATGCAAAACAAACATGCAATAAAAATGCAAAATCTTAAAATGAAATCTGGACCTCATTTGATTCAATTCAGTAAAACATAATAAAAATATGATCTTAAAATGATATAATGTGCTAAAAGCATAAACAAAACTTTGCCAAAATGCAAAAAAAAAAAAAAATAAATTATCAAGCTTTAATGATAAGCTTCAAATATGCTTTGCAAAAAGAAAATATCTAATAATTAGTATTTTCTGACATAATAATGTGAGCATTTAGCAAACTTATTCACACAGAAATTCATAGGCAGTTATATAAATCTTGTAACTTTATCAGCAAAATGTAATAATTTTTTAAATATTTGAACTGGTAACCGTTGCATAATATTTTCAAAATACATGCCATAGCCAACTCTAGCAGGGTAGCAGTCTTCCATGGTGTCGTTTGCACTGCTGAAGTCATCTTCATCCAATGTACACAATTTATCTGTCAAAATACACAACATTGATACATGCAAGAACATGCTAGGAGGTAAAGGTCAAACAAAGGTCAAGAACGTGCAGGTATTGCAAAGCATACTTTTAACTAGAATAAATCTAGCAGATTTATATCATTAATGGTTTTGTTATTACTGAATTTCTAAAGTATGCTTAACATATCTAATTATAGAACACTTGAATAACAATATTTGGAAAATAAAATTCACAATAAAACTAAACATTCAAAGAAGAATTACAAAAATTAAAGTAGTACACTTAGGTCTTACAAAAACATGATCTGGTTGTAGGAAACGTTTCTGATGGTGAGGACGGTTGTCAAATATCACATTTGTTCACAGGCTGGAGACATAAAGTAAACCAACTAATTTCTAAGAGTAATTTATTCATGTGATTCCTAAGGTAGAAATAAATAGTGTGATTATCAACGGTCACAAATATATGTAAATTGGATCTTTTCTTATATGAATCCATTTAAAAAATTTCAAAAGTGTTTTCGGCAATGGTTTAACACAAAAAGTAGGATTTAAATGGCAGAAAAAGAAAATTGATTTAAGTAAAATTGTAATCAATAAAAAGAAGGATACCTATATCATTTGAGTTCCTTGAACCAGACAATTGGTTTCCTACAGCCTTAGATAGACACAATAACAAATAAAGAAATGATTAGCTGAAGCTGAAGATTAATCAAAATATTTCGAACTTCTAACAATATTTCTATAAGGGCTGTACATGAAAAATCTTATCAGCAATATATTTTTGGAAACAAGACATAGTAGCAATTTTACCACTAGTATTTTCTCAATTTTTTCCCTGATACCCTATCATACCTCTACCATTGCCCTCCCCTTATATACCATCCTGTCTTTACTATTTACTGAAATATAACTTACAATGATAATCTGTGTTCAGTATGGGCACTGTTGAAAAATAAAAACATGACTCTGTTAAACTAGTCTACTAAACTAAACAACATATACTAAACTCAGTTGTGTTATAAATTACAGCTAAATTTTCAAAATTTGTAGTAACTACACAGATTATTAAGTTTGCTGTTTAGCTAAGTGAACTCTGAATGCAATCTGATTTAAGGATCTGAAAACATTCTATTGTACTTTCTGTAAAATCTTGATCCTCCGGTTTTATCGTAACGATACACATCATCAAAAATTTGAAGGCATAAATTTAATCAGATGATGTAATATCTACCAGAACAGATTAGTAGAACAGAGCGTTTTCAGATCCTTGTAAGCAAAGGGTGGAGACAGGGTCTGTATTTTAATCAGATTGCTCTGAATTTTTTTATTAGATTTGAAAAATATAGAAAAAAAATGGTCAAAGGAATTAAGGATACACAAACTGATTGGCTAATGATGACAATTGTAACTCCTTCAATGAAAATTTATATTGATTTCATGGTTCATTTAACAAACAGTCAAACTTGAATTCACTGTACTTTGTACAATATCTGAGTTTTAAGCTGTAAAAGACTACAAGAAAGTTATTTTCACAAATTCAAACTTAAATAAATGAGCATTTTATGTATTTATCAAACATTTCAACAATATTGCAGCAAGTCTAACATAATGTGATTTCTATGTTGTTAACTCTGTCACACAGGCAACACAAAAAACATGTGTAAAAACAAAAATGAAGCAAATTCTGATTGGTTGCAATTTTCTCATTCATGATTGCATGCTCTAATGAATTCCACACAAGCATTATACTCATTCATCTGCAAGTCACATGCAAATGAGTACATGATTAGGTAATCAACAATTTAGGTTCTTGATATTTAGCTAATATGTGATACTAACATGATGATGATGAGCGATGATAAACAAATTATCGATCTTTGTATCTTAATAACCTTTTCACTACAAAAGATGATGTGTCAACACACTTACCTTATTACTTCCCTTTGTTCAGTTTCCAAAGCCACAATTATATTTATACTTACGTTCTAATATATAAGGGATATTTACCAGAGGGAATTTTCACTTAAGTACACTACTGTACTGCATTTTGTCATGCATTATATTTAATATACAAGACCATGACTTTATGGCATATGCATTATTACTGTACTGCATATTACATTAAAGTGTGTCAGCTTAATGGACAACATATGCAACCAGCCAGTAGAATGTATTGACATCTATTATTATTTTACTGTACTATATGCACTTTATTCCAATTTTCTTTGTTATTTCCAAACAAATTTCACCTGAGCGGTCCTAATTTGCTCTGTAAGTAATTAGGTCCTATATAAGAATAAGGTAATTGTTAAGTCATAACTGATCAAGAGAAATCAATAGAGCATTACTTACATTTAAGTGGAAGCATGATTCAAATGATTTATCCAATACTATATTACTGACATTTTGTACTTACTTGAAGAGGGCTGTGGCATATCCCCAGCATTCACCCTTGGTGTACTACTGTACTGCATATTGTATTGGGTCCTAGGGAACCCTGGTCTGGGATGACCTTGAGACTGGTTGTCCTGCGACATACCATTAGGAAGGGCTGTTACCATAGCAACTGCTGAAAACATAATTCAAATTATTTTGCTAACTACCATCTATCTATAATCTAAACATATAAATATCTTAACAAAATAAGCATGTAATTAGATGATTTAATTACTGTCATTATAAGTTTTTGTCAGATCATCCATTTGTGGGCTTCTCAGTCTAACTTGAAGATTTTTATAAAATTTTGTTATTCACTGTTGTATATTAAAATCTTTCCTACATAAGTAAAATAGAATGTCGAAGTTTTTAATTTAAATTTTAACCATTAAACTACTTATAGAACAAAGTCCTTTTTTTTCCAAGAGAAAAGAGATGCCTTTTTATCATATAAACATATTCTAGTCCTGATATATATGCATGTTATATTTACTGCTGGATGTTATGAATCCTTCATTAATATAATGAGCCACTTACATTTGGTGTACATAATTATTTGTGAACAATGAATAATTATGTTCCCTTGGTGGACCTTGTGTGTCCACTGATATAGACAATATGGGTGGTTATTGTGAATACTTACGCTACCTTGGTGGACCTTGTGTGTCCACTGATATAGACAGTTTGGATGGTTGTGAATACTTACGCTCCCTCTGTGGACCTTGTGTGTCCACTGATATAGAGAGTTTGGATGGTTGTGAATACTAACCCTCCCGTGGTGAACCTTGTGTGTCCACTGATATAGACAGTTTGGATGGTTGTGAATACTTACGCTCCCGTGGTGGACCTTGTGTGTCCACTGATATAGACAGTTTGGATGGTTGTGAATACTAACACTCCCGTGGTGGACCTTGTGTGTCCACTCATATAGACAGTTTGGATGGTTGTGAATACTAACCCTCCCTTGGTGGACCTTGTGTGTCCACTGATATAGACAGTTTGGATGGTTGTGAATACTTACCCTCCCTTGGTGGACCTTGTGTGTCCACTGATATAGACAGTTTGGATGGTTGTGAATACTTACCCTCCCTTGGTGGACCTTGTGTGTCCACTGATATAGACAATATGGGTGGTTATTGTGAATACTTACGCTCCCGTGGTGGACCTTGTGTGTCCACTGATATAGACAGTTTGGACGGTTATTGTGAATACTTACGCTCCCGTGGTGGACCTTGTGTGTCCACTGATATAGACAGTTTGGATGGTTTAGATCTCATCATTCCTTGAGATCGACGAGGGAAACTGTCTTCACCACAGTAATATACATCTGAATCTGAAACAACAGAAATTGTGTAATAAAATCAACAAGCATTCTGTGAGTATTGCATGGCATTACATAGTCCCTTACCGGTTAAAAATTCATTGTATTGGAACAAAATTCTTACTTGATCTATAACTTTTCATGGTGTAAACTATATAACAAATATCAAGTCAATATCTTCAAACATGATGAAAAAAAGTGTTGAAAATTGATTATTTAAGTGAATTTTCTAAGTCCAAGGACCATAACTCTGCACAAAATCATCAGACCAGAACAAAATTCATACTTGAACTGTAACTTGTCATGATAAAACTATATACCAATTATCAATTCAATATCTTCAAGAATGACAAAAAAAAGTGTGGAAAACTGATTATTTGAGTGAATTTTCTAAGGGCTATTCCATTAAAATGTATGTGGGAGGGTAGGAAGGGACTTTCAAAATATCCCTACAACCAAGAACCATTTTTTAGATAATTTTGCATAATGGTAATAGATGCATACTGAAAAAAGACCCATGACCCACATTCAATAATTAAACTTCCCTTCCTACCCTCCCACATACATTTTAATGGAATAGCCCTAAGTCAAAGGACCATAACTCTGCACAAAATCATCAGACCAGAACAAAATTCGAACTTGATCTGTAACTTGTCATGATAAAACAATACACTAAATATCAAATCAATACTTCAAGCATGAAGAAAAAAAGTGTGGAAAACTGATTTGCCGGACTGACGGATGGACAGACAGACAGACGGACGGAGTGCAAACCTAAAGTCCCCTTTGACTTCATCGGGAACCACTAACTTTTTTTCTGCAATTTACATTTATGCATTTTCAAAATTAAGTAGAGCCTTGAAACCTACCTTGAAAATGGTTCTAGGGTTTCAAATTTACTTTCAGGATGTTCGCTCCTCTTGTTTTGAATTTTTGTCAGATATTCAGAATCCTCTCGTTTTATCCAATGTAGTTTTAATAAATATTTTGCCCGCTAACCCCTACTTTTCATTTCATAATTTTATTACGTATAGTTTAAAAAGCCATATTTGAAATTCTTATAAAATCCTTGTTATTTTTTTCATAGTTTCTGAGAGAAAAAAGGGGCCAATGTTAAATGTATAAAAAGTCTAGAGAGAATCATTTCCAGCCAATTTTTTAATAGCTTATATCTCGAAAACAAAGTCATTGACCCTTCATTTTTTTCTACTTTTTTAGTTCCATTATTTACATACTATCAATTTATAACAGTCTTTTAAAAAGCTTGTTATTTTGAAACAGAGTAGCGAACATCCTTAAAGAATGAAAGGTCCAGCACTATTTGAAGTTTTAAGTAAAAGGTCCTCCCGAAGAAAGTAATAGATCCTATATAAAGCATCAATGTAAAGGATGGGATGTCCTTGACTTTTGTAATTAAAAGAATCAAATGTCACTCCAAGAAAACACTGGTCCTAGACCTTGGACCCACACTAATTTAAGTCCCTGTTATCACATGTAACTTACTAGATTTGTCTATATCAGGTCTGTATGGTGGCAGATTATCGTCAATGGATTTAGAGTCCTGAGAATTACGTCGCAGTGTACTCATCGTCAACATGGAGTCACTACGATCAGGTTTGTTCAAACTCTTCAATTCCATTGGATCATGGTGTATCCAAAGATCTGGAGGTTTTAACTCTTTCTGTCCGGGTTTTTTACTGGGAGACTGGGTGCCTTGTGGCCTTTAATAAAATAAAATCACATATACATATTGTCAAAGAATTGAAATAACTTCAAACAGATATGGAGAAGACGGAACTAAGTTGAAAAACTTGTGTCTAATCCATTTGTTTTGAACAATAAAATATGTTTAAATTAAATTAAACAGATATGGTGGTTATAAATCTGTGTTTTCTCTTTTTATTGGAAGACCTAGGGTCCTTGTAGCATTTAATTTAAAGAAAATCAGGTGAACAAATCAAGGTAGTAATAAACGTGAAAATTGTTTGAATATCTTATAAAATATGTAATTTACTAGTATGCAGTAATCAGTGTTGACAGAAGTAGGGTCCAAAGGTCAATGCATACCTGCCAACTTCTCAAAATCTCCATGGGGGGTTTTAAGTGCAAGAGTGCCTAATGCTCCTGTTATATTGTGATGTGTTTTTAATCTACAACTATATTGTTTGAGTGAAAATATATGTGCTTAAATACCCATTAACTCATATGAATACCTGTTTTGAGGTGTTCAGTTTATATAATAAAAAATTTCAAAATTCAAGTCAACACCTCTCATGGGCGATATCCCCCATAAATCGGGATAGTTTGCAAGTCTGGACAATGGCATCTAAAATTTTACAATAGTCTCCTAAATCATTTTATTCAGTATTCCAGCTTACTGTCAAAATTTTGTTAATATCTTTATGCTTCAGTGCAGAGTGATACTGAAAAATACTGACGATAAGGGAGCTACCATTTGATTTTAATGGGGGGGGCTAGGATGAAAAATTTTGTCCTCCATTTTTTTTAGTTGTAATCTCTGTCCTGCCTTTTTATTTTTCACTCTATTCGGTCCTGCATTTTTTTTTATTAGTTTATCCTGACTTTTTTTACATAAATTTTCATCCTGCAATTATTTTTTTTTTTGCAGTTGCTCATCCTGCCTTTTTATTACTCAAAACTCCTGTCCTGCCTTTTTTTCAAATTTCATCCTAGCTCCCCCATAAAAATCAAATGGTAACTCCCTTACAATAAATGGAAATTCACAGGACCTCATTTATCATCTAGAGTGACACTATTTAGTATTTATTCAACTACACTTACGGTCTTTTTCCTCTTTCTCCGTAATCCCTCCTCCTACAGAACACAATGGCCACCACAATGATCACGACACAAAACACAGCTCCAACAACTGAAGCTATAATTATGATGATAATGTTTGTGGACAGTCCCCCTACTTTATCCTTCCCTTCATCTGCTTTATTTGGTTCCTGGCCTTCAGGTTGTACAGGAGCTGCAAATTACAACATATTCTGACTGTTAATGCTAGAAATGATTAAAATTTAGACTGTTAATGCTAGATATGTTTAAAATTTAAACATAATGTTGGCCCAAAATTTACAATGTTTATATTACAAAAAGCTAATTAAAGTAATTCAAAATGTTTGGCAATGGTGGTGTCTTCCTTTCTTCAATTTAAAGTTTTTTTTATCTCCTCCTAAACATCTTCTCCCCCTTTTTGAAATTTTATCAACAAGCTGTGTAAATGTAGTTTCTTAATAATGATAGCCAAGTATGAAAGACAACTACAATGACCTTTCATCCTTTTCTGACAAGTTTTTTCACTGTCCCAAATTAATTGACAGATGCTATAGAAAGTGAGCCTCCTCATGGGGTTTTTGATTATGTGATTACTTGGTCATTTTTATAGTGATTATTTCATTACCAGACCAAATATTTCATGATTATTTGATTATTTGATAATCTAGGATTGTATTTTTAATTATTTGATTATCTTGTTTAAAAAAATAATTAATGATTATGTGATGATATTGCCAAAACATTTGTGATTATTTGGACACCCCCATGAAGGGCCTCGAAAGTGTATTAAGAGAGAAACCTGTAACAACTTACAATCATCACAGCAATCTAAGAATAGGATTCACTTTCAGTTTAAATGGAAGAGCACTTTCAAGTCCACAAAAAATATTACATATATTGTCAACTTACGAAAATAATCTTTTGCTGGAAAATCCTTTGGATTGAACTGAGTATCAAAGTCTGGTGGGTATTCTGGGTTTATCTTACCACCACCGGTACCATCAGCTGAAAACATAGAGAATACACCATGATTAAAGATACCATTGAACTGAGTATCAAAGTCTGGTGGGTATTCTGGGTTTACCTTACCACCACCGGTACCATCAGCTGAAAACATTGAAAATACACCATGATTAAAGATACCATTGAACTGAGTATCAAAGTCTGGTGGGTATTCTGGGTTTATCTTACCACCACCGGTACCATCAGCTGAAAACATAGAGAATACACCATGATTAAAGATACCATTGAACTGAGTATCAAAGTCTGGTGGGTATTCTGGGTTTACCTTACCACCACCGGTACCATCAGCTGAAAACATTGAAAATACACCATGATTAAACATGCAATTGAAAAGGTTATACCTTATCAAAGATCAATGCATGTAGTTGAACTTTTTTTTTTAGACTCGTTCAATAAGCTTTAATGATTTTCTTTTGTCTGTGGATGCTTAAATAAAACTATCAAGATGCAGATTACTCAATGCAGTTTTTATTGTTTTGTGTCACTTGGATTTGCCAAATGTAGTTTTCAGCTTAATTTTTTAGGAATTTGGATTTGATGCCATAATACCAATGTCAGAAGACTCTGTACTTACATTTTGGTGTTTTATAAATAACAGTAGGTGAGATAGGTCCATATCCTTTACTATTTCGAGTCTGCATTTTGAAGTAATACGTTGTGTCTGGGGTCAGACCTTTGATAGTCGTGGTCAACCTTTCACCAGGCAGTACACCTTCCACGACCCAATCTACATCCTCCAAGTTAGGATCTGTGGTATAAAATATCAGATATCCTGTAATCTGACCATTAGGGGTGACGGGAGGTTGCCAGTTTAGTCTCACAGCCTTTGGGTTCTTTTCGATGCTGATTGTTGTCAAGTCTCGAGGAGCTGATCCTGGGGCTATAAATATAACACAAAGTTAGGTTTACAAAGTTAGAGAATGCTGGTTATAGGTTAATGCAAAGGATACATTAATTTTTTATATTTTTTAGCATTATTCTCTATTCTTTATATTCTAACAACCAATTCTTCAATATTCTTTACTTCTTGGCCTATTTTTGTCAGTTCTTTTTTTTTTACCCATATTTCTGTAGAATTTGTTCAAGATTCTCTCTTCTGTTATCCCTATCTAGACCCTCATAACACTGTGGTTGCTATAGAGATATAAATTATCAATAGGAATTCCTTACCAGCTTCCTCTGTCGTGTTGAGAACACTCATACTCCAAGTACTCTGTCGTCGACCTTTGATGACCTTGACACTGAACTCATACTTAGTGTATGGCTTAAGATTGTCTATGTGACAATTCAGTCCTGTTGAGTTGACGTCTCTATTACGACGACCTGACCCTTGTAAGGGCGTGTAACGAACAGTATAGAATCTGTTGTCAGTGTTACGCTGACTACTTCCAAGTGAAGTGTCCGTCCATGTTAGTAGCACGGTGGAAGATGACAAGACAATGGTCTTTAATCCAACAGGAGGCATCATGGGTGTCAAATGCTCAACAACTACAACAGAGAAATAATAATTAAATACAACTTTTTGCTATTTGTCCGCCATTACTGGAAATTACAGACGTTCCAGTCTGAACCGTTAGCCACTAATCTGATGCCCCAGATAAGTTAAATTTAATTTGGACTAATAAGTATTTGCAAACTTTGTTTAGACACATAAAAAAAAGTTGGAATGTTGTTCTTCAGACTAGGAGTTGGAAAAGATTTTGGTGCAGACTGCGTTTCCGTAAAATTTGATGTCACAACAAAAAAACGATTGTTGTATGATGTCAATAGTTCAAGTGATTTGAATCAGAGATTAGAGGTGGAAAGAAGTTAGCCCTATATTTTTCATTTACCCAGATTATTATTCATTTTGACACGTAGTCGTAATACTGTTCCACTTTCAACAAGAAGGTGTCCATAGAACGTGGATGCCCCACTCGCACTATCATTTTCTATGTTCAGTGGACCGTGAAATTGGGGTCAAAACTCTATTTTGGCATTTAAATTAGAAAGATCATATCATAGGAAACATGTGTACTAAGTTTCAAGTTGATTGGATTTCAACTTCATCAAAAACTTTAACCAAAAACTTTAACCTGAAGCAGAACAGACGGACAGACGGACGGACGGACGAACGAACGGATGCACAGACCGAAAAAACATAATGCCCCTAAGTGGGGCATAAAAATTTTATTGAAACCACTGATTGCTTAGGGACTGTATTTTCTGGTTTCAAAATATCAAATTTTTATATACTTTGTTGTTGTGCACTTGCTTTACGAACATTGATTTGACAGCTTCATGAAAAATAAATGAATTTTAAGTATATACCTTCTGCTTCACTGGTTTTAGCTGTTTGATATTTTGGCGGACCATCTCCTTTCTTGTTATAAGCTCTTACAGTAATAACATACTCAGCGTTTGGTTCTAAAAATAGAATAAGAACTTAATTAGAAACAGATTTTCCAATTCGATTTCTAATCATCTTCTTATAGAAGGCAGTTAATAAATCTTCCTTCCATTAAATCATATTTTCCAATTTTTCATTACAACTATGTTTGCTTTGTTAACTAATCAGTGGTTATTAATAATAAATCTAAGATTATGTATAGCATGTAGAGCGAGCAACTGATATTACATCATGCTATGGATGAAGTTAAATTCATGGCTTTGAAAAAAGTAAAATATTACTTAATAAGCATGTAGAGATTTTTTTTGAACACCAAAATTTTGCAAAGGGCAGACACAATATTGGTATTTAGCAATAGAAATAACAGTGAGGACTAGCAGATTTTCTTCAAGGACCACCAGGGGGGAAAAGACATCAAGAACTCTGTATTACACTGAAATATGTGGAAATAAACCATAAAATAAAACCTACAAAATTTCAGAAAGATTGTGTGTTTAACTAATAAAAATATTTCAGAGGTCTATGAAGCTGACAAATGTAAAATTGCAAATATGTTTCATCAAATTAGGCAGAAGTTTGTTGGGTAGAACTAAAATCTATATATAACTGTGGTTTCATTCTTATTCGTAGGTTACCAATTTTTGTGGATTTGGTGGGTATAGGTAAACCGTAAATTTAAATGTTCAACTAAATACAAATTTTCCATAGGCTTGTATGCAGACTTTGGCAAAACCATGAAATCAAATATCCACGAAAATTGGTAGCCATGAAAAAACATAAATCCACAGTAATGCTTTATATATTTATGTTACCTAAACTTTCTATTGTGAATACATTAACATCAGGTCCCAAGACTTCCATGTACACATCAGCTATTCCTTTACCGTACCCCAGTGTGTATCCCCTCACCATGATCTTAGATTCTGGTTCTGGGGCCGTCCACGATACTCTGATCGATGTGGCATAAGATGTCACTCGTAACTTCCTGGGTGTTGTTGGAACCACAGATTCTAAAGAAAAATATTACACTCTCAGAAATTTCTCATCACATTCAAATTACATAAAAAATATAAAATGCTATTTAGATATCTATTTGTAAACACATCATGTATCTGAACAATTTTTGTACTTTTAAATTTATTCACAACTTGACTTTGCAATTTAGATTTTAGGACATTGCAAATACACTTGTAATGTTGAAAAAGAAAGAAAACAAGTCGACTATATATATCAAAGTGACCAAAAATATACTAACAGAGGCCAACATAGTGGTCAATTATAGATAATCACTCTTTTACAAGGATTTAATACCTGTTACCTTTTACACCAGTGTTTTTTTTTATGTGAAGACTAGATTTTTATGGTTACAATTTTTAGCAGCATTTTTGTATGCACTGTTTATTCACTCTAGAAATAATGTAATACCTCTTCCCTTTTTCTTACAATATATACTGATGGTGAATTTGTAAACCTTTTTTTCTTTTTATTTGCATGATACTTGTATTTTTTTTTCAGATTTTCAGAGTTGATTTTGCTCATCAAATCTATGGGAATGAGTGTAACAAAGGTCAGGTACTATGAGTAATAACTTACATAAAACAACTAAAAAGTTGAATAGAATCTGAATTCAACTAAATGTAAATGTTTATCATTAAAAATCTCACCGTCCAAATCATCCCTAAAGGTTGTAGCCTTCAGTTTATTAGTATAGGGCCCTGTACCATTGACGTTGATAGGAGCTATTTTAACCTGGTACTGTGTGTTCTTTTCAAGATTGACTAGAGCATACAGACGTCGATTGCCATCCGTGGTAACAGTTCGACTTCTCATATCTGTACGCTTCTTGAATCTGATCTTATAACCTGTGATGATGCCATTTCTGGTTTCTTCAGGAGGTGGCTCCCATCTCAATATTAAACTCTAAATACAAAATAAATTTATTTCAGTGAAAAATTAATGACATTTTCTTGTCTTCAAATCTGAATTTTTAAGATGTGTTAGTTATAAATCCCTTTTTCTATATATAAATGATGAGTTTGGAATTCAAATTTCATTCATATTTATTCAATTTTTTGCAATAAATTTTTACTTGAATTTAAATTTTTTTCATATTCATTCTTTTTTCTGCTTTTATCACAAGTTAATTATAACAATTTTATTCTTTATCATCGCAATCTATAGAGTTGCTGCATCTTAAAAGGCTTAAAATACAATAACAAAGAGGAGAATTGGCTTACCGTGGCACTAGCTGCTTCTAATGTGACATTCTGAGGGATGTCACTGGGCCGGTCAGATAATGTTCTGGCTTCGATCTCATCTGACCGTCCACCTTCACCATTCTCATTGAAAGCTACTACACTAATGCTGTACTCTTTAAATGTCTTCAGACCTTGTAGTATGTGGTTGGTTTTTATGATCTGCAAAGAAAATATAAATACTGTATACATGTCTGATCAATACTGAGAGTCTTGATGGGGGTCTTTATTTATATATTCTTTAAACTTTTTAGCCCATTTTTCTCTATTCTTTTTTTTATGCTCATTATTTTTCTTTTCTTTATAATTTAGCACCCCATTTTTCTCTATTCTTTTTTTTTTACCATCTATCTGTGTTATCCATCATTTACTCCCCCTCCCGCTACCCCTTCCACTAAACCCTCAATCATCATGGGTGCAACTTGTTTTAGTTTTCTACTTTAAAATCTGAAAAATGCCATCCAAATACTGTTAATTCAGTGATATTTGTTTTTATTTTTAATTGGACTGTTTAAATATCACACTTATTAGATCTTGCATTTAAAAACCCTTATAGCATTATTTGTGCACAGCATTTCAATCATTCCATTAGTGGAGCGCAGTGGAACACAGAGATATAAATAAACAGAAGTTATCATGCTTTTTAAAAAACTGTTTTTTTCCAAATATAAAAACTCAGTTCCTCCATAAACTTGATGAAACAAAATATTTCAATTATGTACCCTAAGGAGTTTTAAAAAATCTTATGACGAAGATCAATGGAACAAAATAGATGCCTAATTAAATTTTAACGGATAATAGCTTATTAGTACGACTGACTTATACTTCAATGTTGCAAGTTCTTGACACATAAATAAATAAAAGTTGCATAATATGTTACTGAAAAAGCATAAAATAATACACATGGGATTTCACGGTACAGTACTATACAAATGTAATAGTATTGACAGGACTGATTTTTCTGCAACAGATGTGCATTCCAACAATTAATGTCTCTTCAGTGAAACAACTTGAGGCCAAAATATTCGTAAATCCAAAACCTATGCAAACATTGAAGAGCTGATATAAACAAAAATTACCAAAAGTATAGCCAAAACCCCGGACAAGGACTCAGAGATACATGTATATATGAGAGATTTATCTATTTATTCAAAATAGAGATCATTTATCAATCATAAGAGACATAAATGTATTCATTTTTTGACTTTATCTTGATCAATATTTAAGCAAACAAGCATCACAGCTGTACTAAAGGGGTGGTAGGAGGGGGTGTTATCCCGAATTCCTGCATAAATAAAGGATGCTATCCCAGATCCCAAAAAAATTAATCATTAATTCCAGAGTCCAGACAAGAGTAAATCCTGAATTCTCGCAAAAATAAAGGCCCAATCCTGAATTCCAGCTAAATTAAAAACCTAATCCTAACGTCCCGAAAAAGGTCCTTCCCCCCCTTAATTAAGTAATTCTCCTTCTGAATTTCATTTTGTGTGTGCCCTGAAAGCAGTATTAGCTGTATTTCTTGCAAGCATGTAGAAATGAATTGTTAAGAAAAAAAAATCTCAATCAATTTTCTTTTCATCTGAAAACCCTATTTTATTTCTATTTCTGTCATGAACATACACTCTTCCACAAAACTAGCTGTTTCAAACAATAAAGGATTGTGGGAAATGAATAGTTTGTACACCAACAAGATATCATTAAGCTATTGATTTGACATCATAACGTTTAAGAGGTTTAGAGTACATGCACTTTTGGAATAATTACCCTGAAGACATTAAATGGTAAAACAGTGAATACTGTAAATTGAGAAGTTTTTGTGTGAATCTATAATTGTCAATGCACAAAATTGTAAGATAAAAAAATTCAGGGAATTATGCAAAACAAATAATGCTATCAAAATTTAAAATTAATATTTTTTAACCTATCTGTTACAATTTAAGCAAAAACAGTTACTTTGCAAAAAAATTCTGACTGTACAGGTAATCTCTCAAAAACAGAGCATGTATATTTATACTGAAAACAAATAAATGAAGAATTGGTCCATTGGACACAGATGATGCCCCCACTTGCATATAACGTTATAAAGGGACATAACTAGAGAACTGAAATTCGAAATTTGATCTGTGTTTTATGGTAATAAGAATTGTGTATAAGTTTCATAACATTTGGTTGAGGTAAACTAATGTTAGAGAATGGAAACTAATTTTGGGACGTACGTACGGACAAGGGTAACACTAAATGCCCCCCTCCACCTCGGCAGGGCCATACAAATTTACAACATGCAAACAACCTACCTCAATTCTATGTTCCTGTGCATCTCCTTTCATGTAATACATCAGTTTATATTTGGTTATTTTCCCTTTGGCTTGGGCTGGTGGATCCCAGGAAACACGAATGGACTCTGGACTCTTTGCATCAGCATGTACATTAGTCGGTGGTGTAGGCACATCAACTGTAACAATACAATTTTGCTTTGTTATCTTGACATATTTTTATGTTTTGAAGATAATTTCTTTCTTAAAGTGTGTCAATACCAAATTCTGCTTTTCTTTTGCATGATAAGGAAGGCCTTAAAATTGTTGAAAATTAAAATGAAATAGTTAATCTTTTTTTAAATAACTTTGTAAGGGAATACTGTATCAGATTTCCAGGAAATTAAGGAGAATAGGGGTACATTTACTGCATAAGTCTTATTGCTACTTGGGATTTTGACTACTTAAAGTCAAGTGGTATTATTTCATGCATATTAATACATTGGTTGGCTGACCTGGATGAAGGGCAGGACATTTGGAATGCTACTGGAAATGAGGGTATCTTTGAAAGAAGCCAGGGCAGATCCAGCCATTTTTAAAAGGGGGGTTGTACCAACCCAGAATAAAGGGTGGCTCTAACCATATGTCCCCATTCAAAAGCATTGATCGTCAAAAAAAAAGGGGTGTTCCAACCCCAGGAACACCTCCCTGGATCTGCCACTGAGAATCAGAAACTTTCCCTCGCAACAAGCCACCTACAGATCACTCAGAGTGGTTGCAAGGTTTCTTTTATGTGCAGAGTGTGTAGCATTCACCCTACACAAGGCATCAGACTTAACATCCCCATTCTGATTTGGGATTTTGAAAAATATGATACAAGATTTTGCAACACTTAACCTATTGTCATATAATGGCAATTTCTTTTGCACTGTAAGTGAATAAGATTTTCAGATATGATCGTAGAGTTTGATGAACTACTGTATACAGCCAATTACTATCATAATGTGTTTTTAAGACAAATAGATATCATGCGTCTATTGTTTTATGAATACACAGAAGTGTCTTTAAAACTATAATAGAATTTGAAATTTTGCTTCAGACTCTCAGGAGGAAAACCTTGTGTCTTTATCTGATGAAATGAATCAAAATTGCTATTTAAATCTATGATATCATGAAAATATGACAAATTGAAGTAGTTTTTAGAATTTGTTGAATCATAAAATCACAGGTTTCTTGTTTTTATGGATTTGGTGGGTATAGGTAAATCGTATATATAAAGCTCATTATCTACTGTATTCTGTTCAAATTGGTAAAACGCAACATGTAAGCTAATTTTTTTTATAGTGAAATGGCAATTTTATTTCCTGTTTGCCCATGCACATACCACCCCCTTAAACTTATAACTCTCATTACAGTATTGTGTACCAAATTACAGCCTTCTTAACCCATTATTATGTAGCCAATGACAGTTCAGCCTACAATAAATATTTTATGCCTAGTGATCATCTGAGTCAAGAGTTCTTAATAGACCTCAGCCATTATGGACTCGAACCATTTAGTAATTTAGAAGATTCTTTTGACTTACTGTCTCTTTCAGTTGTAATGGAGAGCCTAGCAAAACTGGGACTCGGTCCATTGTTGTTATAGGTCCTGATCCTGAATTCGTAACTGGTATCCGGTTTGAGATGTTGGATGTTAGCTTCATTCAGTGTAGTGTTTAAAACTCTCTCCCTAAAATGACAAAGAATACAATTTTTAACTTCAAACTTTATTTGACATTTTAACTATTTTAACTTTTATATATCGAGCACCACTCAACAGTCTTTTGTAGAAAAAGCTGGTCTGGTGTACACAATTTTAAGCCTGGTATCTATAATTATGTTATTATCAGTATCTGAAATTTTGTTGTTAGATATAGGAAGAAGTGGTATGAGTGCCAATGAGACAACTCTCCATCCAAGTAACAATTTATAAAAGTAAACGTTGTTGTTTTTTTTTTATGACAGAAAAATGACATGAATAAATACAAGTGGTAAGTAAAATATCTGAGGCACAACTTGGAAATTTTCACTAGACAGCAAAAAGAAAATATCTTTCAATAACATGTGTTGAAAAAAATTTCAAAAAAATTAAGCAGGAATGATCGCAATAACTATAATTCCTTCAAACTGGTGTTGTTTTATTTCTTAGGATACCAGTAGAAAGGTGAACAAAAGAAGTCTTCACAATGGAAATTTTGGCCATAAGAGCTTATGCTCTAATACTAATATCAGAAAATTGACCCATTTTACAACAATTAAAATTTCAAATGCCATAATGGCTTATCCATGTACTGGTATTAAAGTCAATTTTTGAATTTAGCCAGCATTCGACATGGAAGTTGGTGTGAATTTGAGACTTGAGCAGGCAGATCTGATGCATTCAAAGTTGTGTTTACACTGGATTTAAGTATACCATTCAAAGTCCATTATCTAATTATTGATCAACACATGTGTTTGTACTTTATGTCATTTACATTGAGATTCTGACAAACATATGTAATTGACATGTGCTATGGGGTTTTACATTTTGACACAAATCATAAACTTTCAACAGTATTTTTACATGCAGTGTATCTAGTTTCCAATGTCTACAAATAAAATGTACTTTACAGATTTAACAATGTAAGCATGGTAGCTGCAATAATTTACATTTCAACACATACAGATCACCATACATAATTTTTAACTAAACAATTTCTCTAAAATTTATGAACTTTCGTCATTCTAGAATATCTCACCTGGCATATAAAACCCTAACTGCTACTACTTCAAACTTCTAAGATGGATTAATTACAATTTTCCCCCTATAAATTGCGATTTTGATTTACAAATGTCATTGAAGGTCAGGTTTTATTGTACAAGATATGCATCTTTCAATTTTTTTTTCTTAATCCCCTGCCACTTCATACAATTCTTCAATATTCCCCTGCCTTGAATTTATTTGCAAATAAATGTAATGTTTTCTTAAACAGAAGATGAAATTGAAAGATACTGCTATAAACCCACTAAATAAAACCAGATTCTGACAAACATATGTAATTGACATGTGCTATGGGGTTTTACATTTTGACACAAATCATAAACTTTCAACAGTATTTTTACATGCAGTGTATCTAGTTTCCAATGTCTACAAATAAAATGTACTTTACAGATTTAACAATGTAAGCATGGTAGCTGCAATAATTTACATTTCAACACATACAGATCACCATACATAATTTTTATCTAAACAATTTCTCTAAAATTTATGAACTTTCGTCATTCTAGAATATCTCACCTGGCATATAAAACCCTAACTGCTACTACTTCAAACTTCTAAGATGGATTAATTACAATTTTCCCCCAATAAATTGCGATTTTGATTTACAAATTTCATTGAAGGTCAGGTTTTATTGTACAAGATATGCATCTTTCAATTTTTTTTCTTAATCCCCTGCCACTTCATACAATTCTTCAATATTCCCCTGCCTTGAATTTTATTGCAAATAAATGTAATGTTTTCTTAAACAGAAAATGAAATTGAAAGATACTGCTATAAACCCACTAAATAAAACCAGCATGAACCACAAAAACTAAGGAACATAAACAATGAAAAGTTCTCTAATCTATCAACACTTTCAAGCTTTAAATTACAAATCCACTTGATGGAAAAAAACCCAAGTCCCACTTGTAAAACACAGAAGTGACTTATCAACTCTGATTAGTATCAGTATATTTATGATGACACTGTGCTTAGTAAAAAGTGGCAGAATTGCTTAATGAGGGTGTGGATGGGGGTTTACAGAATAGAGAATAATGGGCAAAAAGTATAAAGAATAGAGAAAAATGGACCAAAAAAATAAAAAATAGAGAATAATGAGGTGCTAAATATAAAGAATAGAGAATAATGGGCAAAAGTATAAAGAATAAAGAAAAATGGCCTGAAAAATTAAAGAATATAGAAATAAAGGACCCCACATCCAGACCCTCCTTAATGTTCTGCAATTTAAACTATGTATTAGTTTGTACAAGTGGGTATGTATACGGGACAAATTATTAGCCAAGTGTAACCTCCTATTTGTACTTATGATTGAAGTGTCTTCTAAGTTTTTATAATGGTGAAGGGGCAACAAAAACTTTATCTTCTTCAAAATATCCTTTATTTTTTTATATGTTTTGAGATAAGATTGATTAATGGTTGTTTTCCTTATTTCTCCTGGCAAATATTTCAGGCATATTCAGGACAAAAACAAATTGAACTTTTCAATCAAATGAGTTGGGTTGACAGGTATGATGTCATGTTATTCTGACCACTTCTGGAAAAAGTTACATAGAGGCAAAGATTTTTCCCATGCAACAGACCACCTTAGCTATAGACACCTAAAAAAGTGATAGCAAGAATTCTTTAAGGCACAGAAAGCATAACACCTTCCCAACACAGCACTTGGATTCTTAGTCCATTTTCTGACTCATGCAACCATAAAGGGGGTGGGGGTGAGATGAGAAATGCTATGTTTACCTTGTAAGTTCAAACATGAATACAAAATGTTATGTTACATTATATTCAAAGTTGTGACTGAGTGTGAAAATATAAAGATAGATAGATGGATAGTTTGGTTTGTAAGAATATGAACTAAGAATGTCTATCTAGGGTAGATTGCAATGCTGTGTTGTCGACTTATGAGTTTGAATGTCCCTTTGGTATCCTTTGCCTCTCTCTTGCTCTTTGTGGACAATTAAATTACATCTCCTTTGATTAAAATTCATGCATTCTAAAACATCTACAGATCTTTTTATAGAAGTAATCTTTTAAGCCATTTCTAAAGAATTACCCCTTCACATAACTAACTGAAAAAATTCCATTAGTGACTTACAGACCAAGTTTACTGTAAATTGAAAAAAAGGTTTTTTAGGAAAAAATTAAAGCAGCCAGACTGAAAAATGGTACAGAAAAGATTAAAATTTTCATAAATAGCTCTTCTTAATCAATTACAAACCTACTCACACAAGAAAAATATCTATTAAGCCATATTATAGCCTTTTATTAGATTTTAAGACAAACTAATTCATCCCACAACAGACAGAAGATATATTAAGACTAGAGATACCATTAAAATTTAGAAAATAAATGATCAGTCTTTAAACATGCTGATTTCGATAGTCAAACTCGTAAAAATTAATACATGTTCCTTCCAAATTCTAGTCTGCGAAATATATACATCATTTGATTTGATACATGTTCCTTCCAAATTCTACTCAGTGAAATATGCATCACTTGATTTGATACACGTTACTTTCAGATTCTAGTACCTAAAAGATACATCATTTAATTATCACTGAAAGAATGTTAATAGATATGCATATATCCTTCTCTTTGTAAAGATGATATCTGTCTATTTTTATGACATGTGATGTTTGATAATTTACTTCCTTATCTCGAGAAATAAATCAACCAGGAAGTTAAATTAAGATTTCTGACAACTGCTGTAAATTTCATGCTTTTTTTTTTTCAATTCCATTAATTTTTTTTGAAATGCACTTTGGTGCAGATTTCAATTTATTTTCAAAAACAAAGATAACAAAATTCACATTTAATACTTTTAAATGAGGATAATTAACTTCTATTCGAAATTTTGTTGTGAATTTCTCGTAAGTATATACATATAGACATACGAAGATGTGGTTTGATTGCCAATGAGACAACTTTTGTGGATTTTTTGTTGCTGATTCTTTTGTCATCAGTGTAGTATTATGTAGACTGCTGTTTGTCATTTGGTCTTTGTTATTTTGTTGGGACTTTTTTTTGGTTGCATATTTGCTTTTGTTTTCACCCTTTGCCCTTTGTACTTCTCCTGTTTCAGATGTAAATTAGCTTTCATCAGGTTTGATAATGGCTAAAGGTGTTTAAAGGCCACCACATGGCTTAAAATGTAAGATCGTGAGTGCATTATTTTCAATAATAGAGAAAATTAACCACCATATTAATTTTAGTGGTGAAGTTACACATTTTTAACCACCATTTTTAAAGAATAATCCTGATCAAAATAAAATAACTTTATGAACTAAAACATGTGAAATATAAAGTATATATGACCACAAATATTGCCTTTTAATACCACACTAGTTAGCTATATATATAGCCACTCCAAGGATACTAAACAAACCCTAGATTATTCTGATACTATGAAGGAGCAAAGGTGAAAGTATGATAAGGATAAAAAAACCAAAAATTTATGAAGATCTATCCTTCAGAATTTTATCGGTCAGTTAAAATGCACCATAACACAACATGTCTAAATTTTCCATCTAGAAGTTTTGACAGCAAATGTACTACACTTATTTACTTTTCTATTTCTTATTACTATAAAAAAAACAGATATTTGACAGGAGCTGTTTCATTCCTGCATGTTTCCGTTTGTCTTTTATCACATTTCAAAATTTGAACATAAAACACAGGTGTCACAGGTTTCAAATTTGAGTTTTATTTATTTTTGAATGCTTTCCTTCAATTATGATGGACAGTAACTGGTTCTAAAGACAACACAGATTCACTAAAATTAAAATAGCTAATTATCTCTGACAAGTAAAAGTATTGAACTTATCCCTTGAGTTCAGTCTGTTTATCTATATGTTTGGTTAGTATAATTTTCATGGCAGAATTTCTACAAAAGATATCTACTAAAACAGTTTAACAAATTTTTGAAAATAAAAAAAATAAATTTTCTGCAGACATTTATATTATTTCTTTTCAAAATTTTAGTAAGTATCAGTTTCATGTCCATATTTGTGAATATTGTTTTTAAATTCCATTTTACAATTCATTACCTATTAAAAACGTTTTACAAAATTGTGTAAATAAGAAAAGAAATTTTCTCCAGACATTCATATTGTTAATGTTATTTCCTTTAAGCATGAATTAAGAAACCTCTTGAGATTCAGTCACTTTACCCTTTAATAGCCTTTTTTATTTGGTGTTGTAAAAAGCAGCCTTTTAAAAATTTAAATGAACAAATTACAAATTTTTGTTGGACAATAGGACAATATTGATTTCCACGATTTCTCCATTTCTTATCCTTTGTAAATTGACTCTAGTGAAAAGAATTCTATCAAAGTTTTTTCTAAATGCCATTGTTAGTTTACTCAAACAAGATAATTTTTGTCTGGCCTTTAACATGATTATGTATTTGATATTATAGTCTTGCCATTTCAGTTCACATGGCAAAACTCATACTGCATAGTAAATATAAAGTTTATTCTCTTTCTTTTCCCCCGCTTGCATATAACGGTATGAAGGGGCATAACTAAAGAATGGTAAAATTGACGCCACCCAAAGTTGAACTTGATCTGTTATTTGTGGTAATAAGCATTGTGTATAAGTTTCATAACATTTGGTTGAGGCAAACTAGAGTTAGAGAACAGAAACCAATTTCGGGATGTTTCAAAGGATACTGTACAAGGGTAATACTTAATGCCCTCTCTGATGACAACGGGGGCATAAAAATCTAGAAAAGTTATCTAACTGAAATACAGATTCTGTTTCTAAACTTTTACTACAGTAATCTGACAATACTCTGTTCTAGTTTTTATCATGATACATATTGGTTTCATTAAAAATAAAAATACTATTCATATTCAAATGACATTTCTATCTTCAAATAAGTTAGGGTATATTTCTTACATAAGCAAAAGGATCCTAAAATTTCAGAAGGCATACTGTGGTGGCTTGATTATTATTCGTTGGATACCAATTTTCGTGGGTTTTGTGAGTACAGTTAAACCACGAATTCAAATGTTCAACGAATTACCAATTTTCTATAGGCTTTGTATACAGAGATTGGCAAAACCACGAAATCAAATATCCACCAAAATACAAGTTTTCCGCAATCCACGAAAATTGATACCCAGAGTTCACGAAAATGGTCGGTCCTGTCGGTCCTGTCGGTCAAAATGAGGCTCGGACCAGTATTTTGAAGGCTAGTGCCGGTCCGGATGACCGATGTAAAAACGGCCGTTGTAGTGCATATTTCGGCACTTTTTTACATCGGTTATTAGATGTACCGCAACTGTTTACATCGGTTATCAGATGTACCCGCTGCCAATTTCCGGTACTGGTTTACAGATTTATTATAAACAAACCAAAGCGGCGATCTACACGTGGCCTACTAAATTTGTTCATAGAGCCATCCCTGGCAAACAATCGGCAATTGAACCCTACAATGGAGCAAACAAATACTGTAACAGCCGAGAAAGTGATTCAGATGATGAAATGGATAGTGAAGATGACTTTAAATAAGAACAATCAGAAGACCTGAACTGGTCCTTCATTGTTAATTTGCCTGTGGGTGCGAAGAATAAAACTAATATTAATAAAGTTATTTTTCGATAAAATATGTTAATAATTTTATTTCAGGATAAAATTGACAGATTTTGTAGGACTGGCTAAAGTTTTGTAGGACTGACAAATAATCATGCTTTGTCGGTCCCATGACCGACGGGTCAAAATAAGTTTTGCGAACTCTGGATACCCACGAAAATAAATGAATCCACAGTATATCATTATGACAAACACCCGAGTATCCCAAAGAGCTCTTCACAACAGAAGTAAATCAGAGCATAATTGTGATGTGCCTTGTAAAGCAATGCATGGACATATGATCTACAACTGCACATTTCAATCAGATTAAAAAATAAAAAGTGAAAATCCTTTTCGTCTCTTTGATACAATAATCCTTTTCAATCTCATTTGGATTGATCAACGAGTATATGTTTTCTCTGATACAAGAATAGTTTCTCACCTTTGAGATTCTTTCTCCTTCCAGAAGACAGAGTATACTAGACTCCCTTCATTTAATGGACCGGTCTTCTCTGGATCATTCCATTTCAGTGTGACAAACTGCTTTGAGACAATGACAGCTTGGAGGTCTTTTGGTTCACTGGGTAGGTTGATCTCGTTTCCAATGTTACCACCTAGATAAGTTGGTAGTCTGTAGTTTCGGGTTGTTGTAGGGAGGGGTACATCTACAGGGAGGGGTGAAAAGTAGAAGGAAAAACAACATAAGCAAAACAAAAAATTAAACAACATGCAATAACAGATGCCTAGTGCTCAATCTTTTTTAATTCTTTTTGCATTTTTTATAAAGCGTATAATTGTATTACTTAGTTATTTCACCATGCTTTTAAAATGGTTTCCACTAAGCCTAAGGTACATTTTATTTAAGAAATGTGATCTATTAACATTTTGTAATACATTTGAATGGCAATGTTTATTTGATACATAGGACACAGTTGCCCATCTTTTGATGGAACGTATCGAAATTATGTACCTGTTTAAACCATGCTGCCCGATCAAATAAAATTAATAGAGTAATACCCCAAATAATTTCTTAAATGTCCATGTTTTACCAAGTAAACTGCTAAATTTCATGAAATGCTTATACTTAGTTATAGTATCAGGGGTTCAAACTAGTGCGAGTCGGAGGTCCTGGACCTGTCTTTTCTAGGAGGGGACTTTTCATTTTTAAATTACAAAAGTCAAGGACCTACCATTCTTTACACTGATGCTTTATACAGGACCATTGAATTTCTTATAGAGGACATTTAACTGAAAATTTCAAATGGTCCTGGACCTTTCATTTTTTAATGCAAATTTGAACCCCTGAGTATCAACAAATATTTTCTTAAATTTTGCAAGTTTGAGCACTGACTAGTTGAATAGAAAATTCAAACAAATTCAACTTATGCTTTTCAAAAAATAAAAATAAAAATTACCAAAGAGAATAAAAAAGTAAACCACACCACACCAAAGATTAAGTGAAATTAAAATACATTAAGAGTTTGTAAGAAACAACAGCCATATGTAGCTGGTATTGATATCTTACACACTAAGGTTTAACTTTCACATCTTGTGAAGAATCCATTTTGGAATATATTATGTTTCACCCATTTTTTGAAATATTCACTTTTTTGTTAGATTTGGAAATCTACATTATAGTGCTGAGTAGAAATTTACTGTGTGAAAGTTTCTCCATGCAAATCAATGTTGATATCCTGGACCATTTATCAGACCCTCCATGAGAGGTGAAAATCTCAATTAAAAGGGTCCGTCTGCATTTTAAACATTGAGAATGGGATTCATGAGTGTGTGAAATAAAACCAAAATCTTAATGTAGGTCACTGCATATCTACCAACTTTTCAAAATATCCATGGGGGATTTTAAGCACAACAGAACCTAACACAATTACCTATACATGTCATAAGTGTATTTAATGAGAATATCTATGGTTTTGAATGAGTATATATGTGTTTAAATGTATTTTTTACTCATTATTTTTAAAGTATTTAGTCTCAATAATTGAGTTTTATAAAGGTCAGGTCAACACCTCTAATGTGGGGATATTCACTATAAAGCACTCATGTGGGGATATCAACTATAAAGCACTCATGTGGGGATATCCACTATAAAGCACTCATGTGGGGATATCAACTATAAAGCACTCATGTGGGGATATCAACTATAAAGCACTCATGTGGGGATATCCACTAAAAAAGCGGGAAAATTGGCAGGTCTATTCATTTGCTAAAAATTTGGATTTCCACTAAATCTAGGATACCTATAATGCTAACAGTATAAAAATGAATGTAAAAACTTTTGAATATATACCAACGAGGTTGGTATGCTCTAAATACTTAGGAAACATCTGAGTTATAACAATAAACCTTAAGTGACCTGTTCAATCATATTTTATCCAAAGATTTATAACTTTTTATAGTTTTGCAATAGAAATAACATTCTTGTTGACTTACTAAATAAACAAATTCTTTAAACGACTTGAATATGTAAACACAAGAGGGTTATAAAACATTTTATTTAAACATAAAATATAAGTAAGTGGATTAAACTGAAAGACATAACAGTAAAAGAGTTTTTAGTTTATTTTCTCTCCTACTACATCTACATAAATCATTAACTAACAGTTCTCTGTAGAGATTGAAACATTTTCTATGATGAAAATTGCTAAGAATTTTGCCAACTAAACATGTATAAAGGTTTTTATAAGTTTTCCTTGTTCTTAAATTTTATGCAGACCCTTAATATGATGGAGTAAATATAAGACTGAGGCAATATCAACCAAAATTTAGTATATAACTTTATATTGTTTTGGATGGCAAAATTATAATTTTGATGAGTTACTAAAAACCTAAAATTAACATAATTGATATTTTAATATTAAGGGGATAAACTGATAAAGGGGTAACTGACATAATTTCTCTCTTCTTATAAGAATTTCAATATTTGTATTCATAATTTATGACATGCTTGAGATTAAAATGTTCCAATAAAATTGATACCTTAACTTATTTTCTGTAATATTTGATTTTTAAATCAATTGCAATGATTTCAAAATGTGAAAATCTTAAAGATAAGGGATTTTAGGTACTCCTTTTAGAAAGTCTCAGGGACTGTGCATGTTGCCAAAAATATCACGATACTAAAAATAAATCTTATGTAACAAAATACACAACATGCAAAGGGATGAAAGGGTAAAACTAACATTTCTAACAATACAAACAACAATGATTATCTTTTATGTATAAACAATCAGTAGTAAACAGACTTTCTTGCATGTGGCCAATTGTGTTTTAATTCTATCACAAGCCATGTGAAAATGCCGAATATAGGTTCTTAATCATTAATGATTTCTAGCAATGAATTCAGATAAAACCTGTGCTAGGGCTATCTTGAACTTGCAATGAGGTGTCAGGTTTTGATCTGTGTTGATTTTGATTGATTTGTTGTTGTTAAATGCCACTTTCAACACACTTTATTATGGCAGCTAGTGTTTGTATTGGTGGAGAAAGCGGGATTGACATGAGAAAACCCTTGATTTACAACAGGATAGCTAACAATCCTAGTCAATTAAGATCGGAGTTAAAAGCACTTTGCCAAAGCAGGGTTTAAACTCTCAACCTTAATGTTGACAGACTTGTGATCACTATTGAACTACAGGCCTTGATCTGTGTTGAAAGCCTTCACCAATGACTTTGAGATGGAGATTAGCAATTAAATTTTAGCCCTGTTCCTTTGCTAGAGGTTTTGTCAATGTATGAATTCAAGCACTACAACCCTCCTTTTCCATTTAAAGATTGAAATTAAAACTGTATCGATCAATAGAACTTGCATAGATGTATGGCATAATCTTGTACATCTGAATAATTTATTTCAACACCTAACAATTTTTTAAAAAGCTCTCAATAAAACTCAAAACAGAATTATCCAAATGCAAGAAAATAAACGTCATTAATTAACGTTGTTAATGTTTTAACAAATTCAAATTCAATAACAATCGTTTTTCTCAAGGGTAACATGATTACACTATAAAATATTACAAATGATTATCTTCACTGTTTTAAATTATAATTGTCTGGTGTGTTTTGAACACAGAGAGTAAAACGTTAACATAACTTTATTGTTCCGATGGTATATTTACCATATTCTTGAAAAGTTACATAAGTTATAAAAGCTTAAATGGTTTAATTATATTATTTTTTTTTCATTCTCTTAGAAAAAGTGTTTGATTTAAAAAATATATATCTAAAAGAAATTGAATGTACCATACACAAAGGGAGATTACTCACAAATTGAATGCCCCATATTCAAAGGGAGATTACTCACTCTGATTGACGACCATCAATTGAACACTGGCCTGAACATTTCCAACAGAGTTGTTCCCAAAACACTGATACATCCCTGCATCACTCTCGAGCAAGCCAAGTATCCGTAAATGTTTCTTGTCAATGATATGGAAATAATCGGATGGTTTTAACATTACGCCATCTTTCATCCAAACAACTTCTGGCTGTGGACTGCCATTGATGTCACATTTGAATTCGATGTCAGAATTCTCGTGGGCAATCCTGTTCAATGGTTGTTGATTGAATTTTGGTGGAACTGTAAAAACAAATCAACTTTTTAATTTATGATATTTCAAAATCCAGAAACCATATAATTTTAATCCTTTAAAAATGTCTACATAATGTTTTAACCCCTAGATATCTTCAACCTCTTGTACTAAACCTAGTGGGAGGGTTTAGTGCTCACAAACATGTTTAACCCCACCACATTCTTTATGTGCCTGTCCCAAGTCAGGAGCCTGTAGTTCAGTGGTTGTCGATGGTTCATGTCTGCCATATTTGTTTTCGTAAATTGTTTTGTTATAAATTAGGCCGTTAGTCTTCTCAATTGAATTGTTTCATATTTTTCATGTTGGGACCATTTATAGGCAACTATATGGTATAGGTTTTCTCATTGTTGAAGGCCGTACAGTTGCCTATAATAGCTATTTCTTTTGAACTTGAGTGGATAGTTGTCTCATTGGCAATCATACCACATCTTCTTATTTTTATACTAATCATGGTAATATGGTGTATAAACTGACAATACAATGAATTAAAGCCTTGATATAACATTGCCATTGGATTGTCTCTAACCAACTTAGAAGGGTTCAACTTCACTTTCAGTCCTTTGTAGTTTAATCAGATCTTTTGCTTTAGAAAATATTGAAATATTTTGACCTCAAGCATCACTGAAGATATTAATCAGAGTTCACGAAAATGGTCGGTCCTGTCGGTCCTGTCGGTCAAAATGAGGCTCGGACCAGTATTTTGAAGGCTAGTGCCGGTCCGGATGACCGATGTAAAAACGGCCGTTGTAGTGCATATTTCGGCACTTTTTTACATCGGTTATTAGATGTACCGCAACTGTTTACATCGGTTATCAGATGTACCCGCTGCCAATTTCCGGTACTGGTTTACAGATTTATTATAAACAAACCAAAGCGGCGATCTACACGTGGCCTACTAAATTTGTTCATAGAGCCATCCCTGGCAAACAATCGGCAATTGAACCCTACAATGGAGCAAACAAATACTGTAACAGCCGAGAAAGTGATTCAGATGATGAAATGGATAGTGAAGATGACTTTAAATAAGAACAATCAGAAGACCTGAACTGGTCCTTCATTGTTAATTTGCCTGTGGGTGCGAAGAATAAAACTAATATTAATAAAGTTATTTTTCGATAAAATATGTTAATAATTTTATTTCAGGATAAAATTGACAGATTTTGTAGGACTGGCTAAAGTTTTGTAGGACTGACAAATAATCATGCTTTGTCGGTCCCATGACCGACGGGTCAAAATAAGTTTTGCGAACTCTGATTAATTATCAAAATGTGCATCTGGTGCAGTAAAATTGATACCATTAATGCTAGTAGGAAAAAATTGTGTGTATTCAATAACTATCTGAATACTCTGTAGTCATTAAACAGCTTATATTTGTTATTAATAAAATTGAGAATAGAAAAGGGGAATGTGTCAAAGAGACAACAATCTGAGCAAAAGAGCAGAAAAATAGCACAAGGCCACCAATGGGTCTTCAACACAGCGAGAAAATCCCACACTCGGAGGCGGGCTTCAACTGGCCCCTTATCAATAATGTATACTAGTTCAGCGATGGGAAGTCCTACTAAACTCCGAAACACATAAATGAACCAAATTTAAGAAATCATACAAGACTAACAAAGGCCAGAGGTTTTTAACTTGGTACAGGCACAGAAAATATTTTTTTATGACTGTATTCCATATCTGTCCACCTACCAAGCACAATAAGACTGGCATCTGAATCATCTGAGTCCAGGAGATTTTCAGCTCTACATGTGTAAGTTCCAGAATCAGCTTCATTGGCACTGTATATTTTTAGACTCCCTCTCCCTACAATCTCTAATCTACCCTGAGCTTGTCTGAAAGAAAACAAAAAAAGTGAAAATTTAGTGCAAGCCACAATTATTATGCAGAGAATGATTTCATTTCCTTAATTCAGATATCATTCATAATACTCATTGTCTTTTATAGCTGACTCTACGGTATGGGGTTTTCTCATTGTTGAAGGCTGTACAGTGGCCTATCATTGCTTACATCCACTTCATTTGAATGTTGGTGGATAGTTGTCTCATTGGCAATCATACCGCAATTTTACATAATTAGGGCTTCAAATTGCAAAAAGGGTAAATAGTAAGGGTGAAATTTTCATTTATTAACTTTTCAAATGTTGTGCAAAAATCGTTTTAAAAAAAAATTCAGTACTACAAATGTATAATTAGTGATTCAGATGAAATTAGAATGTCAGTTTTTTTCAATTTTTTTCAGATAAATAAACCCCTATACATGCCACAACTATTTGGCCTTATGTCCAACTGGGGTTGGAGAGGATAAGTTAGTACATGCCACTAAACTTAAGAGTGACTTTCAGATGAAGAACAGCTATAAAAGCACTGTTCCTTTCTTTATGTGTGTTTTTTGCTGTGCATGTACTAATTTTGTGTCATGGATGGATACCCCATATCCTTTGTTTTTCTATTAAGAAAAAAAGAAAATGTTTGCCGTCCAGTATAACTGGTATTATGTTTTCCTAGCTACACATATATTTGAATTAAATGTATATAGCCCTGAAATGAGCTTTCTGTATGTGGATATGATTGCCAATGACACAACTAATAAACTATCCTGAAATGGCTTAAGATCAATAAGATAAAAAGACTACAGATTAATATATGACAAAAGCATATAGTAAGCTATAATTGTCACCCACAAAACTGTTCTTTTCAAGGAAAATACTTGGTCTATGGCATTGCCATCTTTAAGCCATGTTATTGATAAAACTTACTTGAAGTCTATGGCATTGCCATCTTTAAGCCATGTTACTGATAAAACTTACTTGAAGTCTATGGCATTGCAATCTTTAAGCTATGTTATTGATAAAACTTACTTGAAGTCTATAGCATTGCCATCTTTAAACCATGTTATTGATAAAACTTATCTGAAGTCTATGGCATTGCCATCTTTAAGCTATGTTATTGATAAAACTTGCTTGAAGTCTATGGCATTGACATCTTTAAGCCATGTTATTGATAAAACTTACTTGAAGTCTATAGCATTGCCATCTTGAAGCCATGTTATTGATAAAACTTACTTGAAGGCTATGGCATTGCCATCTTTAAGGTATGTTATTGATAAAAACTTACTTGGTCTATAGCATTGCCATCTTTAAGTTATGTTATTGAAAAAAAACTTACTTGAAGTCTATGGTATTGCCATCTTTAAGCCATGTATTTGATAAAACTGACTTGAAGTCTATGGCATTGCCATCTTTAAGCTATGTTATTGATAAAACTTATTTGAAATCTATGGCATTGCCATCTTTAAGCCATGTTATTGATAAAACTTACTTGGTCTATAGCATTGCCATCTTTAAGCTATGTTATTGATAAAACTTACTTGGTCTATAGCATTGCCATCTTTAAGCCATGTTATTGATAAAACTTACTTGAAGTCTATGGCATTGCCATCTTTAAGCTATGTTATTGATAAAACTTACTTGGTCTATAGCATTGCCATCTTTAAGCTATGTTATTGATAAAACTTACTTGGTCTATAGCATTGCCATCTTTAAGCCATGTTATTGATAAAACTTACTTGAAGTCTATGGCATTGCCATCTTTAAGCTATGTTATTGATAAAACTTACTTGAAGTCTATGGCATTGCCATCTTTAAGCTATGTTATTGATAAAACTTACTTGAAGTCTATAGCATTGCCATCTTTAAGCCATGTTATTGATAAAACTTACCTGAAGTCTATGGCATTGCCATCTTTAAGGTATGTTATTGATAAAACTTACTTGAAATCTATAGCATTGCCATCTTTAAGCCATGTTATTGATAAAACTTACTTGAAGTCTACGACATTGCCATCTTTAAGCTATGTTATTGATAAAACTTACCTGAAGTCTATAGCATTGCCATCTTTAAGCCATGTTATTGATAAAACTTACTTGAAGGCTATGGCATTGCCATCTTTAAGTTATGTTATTGATAAAACTTACTTGAAATCTATAGCATTGCCATCTTGAAGCCATGTTATTGATAAAACTTTCTTGAAGGCTTTGGCATTGCCATCTTTAAGGTATGTTATTGATAAAACAAACTTGAAATCTATAGCATTGCCATCTTTAAGCCATGTTATTGATAAAACTAACTTGAAGTCTACAGCATTGCCATCTTTAAGCTATGTTATTGATCAAACTTACTTGGTCTATAGCATTGCCATCTTTAAGCTATGTTATTGAAAAAAAACTTACTTGAAGTCTATGGCATTGCCATCTTTAAGCTATGTTATTGATAAAACTTACTTGAAATCTATGGCATTGCCATCTTTAAGCCATGTTATTGATAAAACTTACTTGGTCTATAGCATTGCCATCTTTAAGCCATGTTATTGATAAAACTTACTTGGTCTATGGCATTGCCATCTTTAATCTATGTTATTGATAAAACTTACCTGAAGTCTATGGCATTGCCATCTTTAAGCTATGTTATTAAAAAAAACACTTGAAGTCTATGGCATTGCCATCTCTAAGCTATGTTATTGATAAAACTTACTTGAAATCTATGGCATTGCCATCTTTAAGCCATGTTATTGATAAAACTTACTTGAAGTCTATGGCATTGCCATCTTTAAGCCATGTTATTGATAAAACTTACTTGAAATCTATGGCATTGCCATTTTTAAGCCATGTTATTGATCAAACTTACTTGAAGTCTATGGAATTGCCATCTTTAAGCCATGTTATTGATAAAACTTACTTGAAGTCTATGGCATTGCCAACTTTAAGCTATGTTATTGGTAAAACTTACTTGGTCTATGGCATTGCCATCTTTAAGCCATGTTATTGGTAAAACTTACTTGAAGTCTATGGCATTGCCATCTTTAAGCCATGTTATTGGTAAAAATTACTTGAAATCTATGGCATTGCCATCTTTAAGCCATTTTATTGATAAAACTTACTTGAAGTCTATGGCATTGCCATCTTTAAGCCATGTTATTGATAAAACTTACTTGAAGTCTATGGCATTGCCATCTTGAAGCCATGTTATTGATGAAACTTACTTGGTCTATGGCATTGCCATCTTTAAGCTATGTTATTGATAAAACTTACTTGAAGTCTATGGCATTGCCATCTTTAAGCCATGTTATTGATAAAACTTACTTGAAGTCTATGGCATTGCCATCTTTAAGCCATGTGATTGATGGTTCTTTCTGTTGTGTGTCTCGACCGTTAGCACCACAAAATAACGTAACAGTTGACCCAGCCTCAGCATGTGTGTCTTCTGGCTTGTATACAAAACTTGGTGGTAATCCATTCAGTATCACCTCTGTAATAAAATAGCATTGATATCAAATTAGGTAAGTACTGTGGATTATCTGTATATTACATTTATATTCAGGAATATGACCTGCTTTGTGCTATACACATTAACATTTTTTGTGAAACTTATTAGATAATTGTCCACAGAGGTACATGTCAGCCACCTCTGACAAATCATTCTGACAGAGTCTTTGCTATTACCCAATATTCCATGTGTTTGACCATTTGTAAATCTTTGAGTGAACCAGACATGATTGAACCAAAGACCTCTTGCAATTGAGACAAAAAAAGATACCTCAATGCAACTAAGGAAATATATATTCATTTAAAGGCTGATAAAATGATAATTTCCTTTTTACCTGCATGCCTATGAATGGTGTTCCCTGTAATTTTGTGATCTACCTTTAAGGTCCCTATTTATCTTGCTTTTGCTTAATGTTAGCAAAATTCTTTATTTTTAAAAATCCACATTTTTAGTTTTGGACTTATGTTATTCAAAACTTTATCCAGAATAACCAGTTTTACTCAGAGTACATTAAATGATTAACAAGAACACATGGGTTGTCTTGCTAAGCATAACCCACTCATAAATAAAAGTATCAGAAAACAGGAAGTAGATGTCTGACAGATCTATAATCACACTTAAGTTACAACTTATTACTGTTGAGCTGCTGACCAAAGATGGACAGATCAGGTGATAATGCAATATAGCCACAACTTTTAAAGTGGGGTATAATAATGACTTATAATGGAGAAGACTGTTAAAATAAATTGCAAATACACAAACAGACCTTGACCTTTAAGAGTATACAGAAAAAGTATTCAAATATTTTGTGGCCTTGTAAAAGAGAAAAAAATCTTTGATGTGCAAAATTTACTTATATTTGAAGCCAGCAAATAAAACCAAGTTGTGAAATCTATAGTTCTGTAAAAGAATTACATAACTTCACAGAAGAGCCAGAAACCATCAATCATTAAATTTCCATGTGGAAATTTCAAACTGTTCTCGATTTCTTCCACAAACAGAGAAACGTGTCTGTTCAATGCATTACAATCAATACAAAGAAAATTAATAAAGAATTATTCGAAATTTACATACAATTAACACCTACATCAAAAGACATGTTAAATGTGGTTTCACTTTGACATGTCACAGTGAAATGACTTGTCCGCCATAAATAAGAAATGAAATAGAATTTAACTATTACATTGTCTGAACTTGAAACAATTATTTCTGATTTACATTGTTGTTATTCAAACAAATGGGATGTTTTTTAACTTTAACATTTCCAAATGGAGTATCATACCATGTTCGGAAGAGAGACATTTGACAAGTGACAAAAGAGATATCTTTATTAAGGCCAACACTTATCCTATGTATTGGTTATAATTTGCTAATCTAGAAAAAAATAAAAATCCGGTTAATAAAAGGGGATGTAGAAAAAATGACAAGACTACGATGGAACAACATATGAATCACACTTAACTGGAGGGTAGGAGGACTTAAAAGAGAATGTACTGGCCTGGTAAGAACAAAAGATAAATAACATTGCCCAAAACAAAATAAAATGGATGTTTTGCCCAACATAATGCAGGACATAAGTGTGTACAAAAGTGAAAATAAATTTAAGCATGAAAATGATTAGCCAGATTTGCAATAACTGAAAAAGAATATTCCCTCAGAAAAAAATTGAGAAAGAAAGACTCATTTCAATTATAGATACAGGCCTTTTCTGGAAGACTCGGTAATATCAATTATTCAATAATTAGGCTCAAATTTTAGTATACGTTACATTATTTATTGGACAAAGGCTGAAAGTAATTTTGAACATATATCTGTATACAACATGCTTAAAATTTTCAAAAAAATGAAACTACATATAGTTAAAATTAAAAATATTTCAAAAAATAAAATCATTTAACTTATACCTGCCTACCCTATCATTTTCTGCCAGGAGACAGAAAACAAATATATATTCATTTTTGGCCTAAGTAAGATGCTTACAAAACAATGGAAACATTAAAAGCAATAACACAACAATACGGAAGAGATACATGTATTAACTTAATTTATACGATATATCATATATATTCTGACAGTTTCATCATGATGTTACATGATTATTGTTGTTATCTGAAATCAGTCAACCCTAAAACATAATATCATACTCGCTAGGAACATTGTAGATCTTGTCAGCTGTCGTCTGACAAAAGTGAAGTCATTGGCAAATGATATAAACTGGAGCAAGAAAAAAAAATTTCCAATAAAAATAAACAATTTTTATGGGAAACCAACAAAAAATCAATAAAACCCATAAAATAATATCAATTTGTCATTTCAAAATCTAATGCATTCTTGGTAATATTTTTAAAAGCATACACCAAAACGCTTTGATTGGCTTACAACGTCCCAAAACAATGGAAATTCAACCAATAATGTGACGTTATATTCATTTTGGTGTACAAACAATTAGACTACACATAATCCTTTAGATTCTGATACGGGTGAATTGTTTACCAGTTTGATATTTCTCTATGATAAACACTACTCACTTATTGGTGTACAGTATTGTGATAATTTTGTGATAAACAATATATTTTCTACAGAAGAAGCCAAATTACAAATTCCAAATTTAAGATAAAGTGAGGAAGAAGAGACTAAGGGACATTCAAAATACTCATAACCAGAAGAAGAACTGAAAAACACAATGGACTTGACATTTGACATATAAGCTTGTCTAACAGTGACAACCTATGTTGACCTACAAACGTATTTTTCTTGTTTGTACATTTGTGTAATCATGTTTTCAGTTTCCTGTCTAAATAACATTTACTTTAAAATCTCACATTTTCAGATTATTTTGCACTTTCTAGCCTTAACCTTGAAACTTAACTCAAAACATTGAACAAATCTCCTGCTTAAGGAGGAAGTGATTTGTTAATGATTTACAAACACTTTCCCTCCCACTCTGACTGATCACTCAAAACTAATTATCTAAAGATAGGGAGGATGTAGTAAGAATTATTCTACAATTTACTTAATGAGTTTATAATGCTGGTTTAGTTTGATATTCATCCTAAACATAAATCCCCTTTTATCCAGTGTGTATGTTTCATTAAGCTCAATTCATTCTGCATGTATCATTCTTTAAATGATTAAAATATCAAAATATCTACTGGCTGCTGTCGCTGCACTGTCTATATCGTACAAAGGCAAAAATGTAATGTACAAAGTAAACAAAAATGTATCCTAATTTGGCATATATTATATACTACATTGTGAAAGGTAGCTCCTACTAATTTGTGTAATTTGATAAAACATAGCACTTGTAAGTTCTGAAAGAGTCAACATCTTGATCAGTAAGTCAATTTTCTGGTAGGGCAAGTAAATATAGTCCCTTTAGTTGATGCCAGGGGTTGCAAGGATACACTGTCTGCATTTATTAACCTAAAAATGTAGGATTCAATATGATGAAAGTTTAACACATTTGCACAATGAACTTTTTTTTAGCGGTAGTTGTTTTAGTGTTGTTGAGTTGCTGTCTCATTGACAATATCCTACATATTGGTTTATATATAATGGTCTCGCTAGATTTCATCTAAAACATAACATTCAACTTAATGAAAGTGTAACATATCGGAATTCAAATAAAAGAAATTCAAATACTAACCAACATTGGCATTTTGTTCTAACTTTGCCATCCTACTGCTCATCTTCTTATCAACATTCTCAGCTAAACAATGGTAGGAGCCAAAGTCATTAAACTGTACAGGATATATTTCCAACACCCCGTCCAGATGGACTCTGACATTTTTCTTCTCTTGCAGTGGTATTCTGTCTTTATACCAGGAGATATTTGGTTTTGGCACGCCATCTATGACGCAACCAAACATGGCGGCATCGTAGAGGTATACAGACAAATCTTCAGGTTCTGTACGAAATGTTTTTGATAAATCTGAAAGTGAAATTATTAATAAGAATAGAATGTGAATACAAAGTGGGTCTCATTGGGGTCTAAGCGTGACGCAGGATTGGCTGATTTTTTGTAAGCATGACACGTGAAAGTCAAATTATTTTGCATGAAAACAGGAAACGAAGTCGGGTGGGACACGGGAAATTACAAGAGCTATTATTACAATGATAAGTGGGATACAGGATTCTGACAAAACAATAAGTGAGATCCAGGATCAGACCCCCCCCCCCAATGAGACTCCCTACAAATGCATTGGAACAACTACAAGAAACTGGAAATGGTTTTCCTGTCAATGGTTACAGTTACATGACAATTTTGAATAGAAAAAAGTTCAACAACTTTTATTAAGGGAACAATGTCAAGTGAACATTAATTAGTTATTGACTTTGAACTAGCTGTCCGTAACTACGAGTACTCTCAGATCTGTACTTAGTGTTTTTTTGTTGTGGGGATGTATAAGTACACGTCCACGTCCACTCTGTTTTTTTGTTAGAGGTTAGGGGAGGGTTGGCGCCTTCAAACGAGTTTAACCCCGACATATTCTGAATGTGCCTGTCCCAAGTCAGAATCCCGTAATTCAGTGGTTGTCCTTTTTTGCTGTGCAACATATTTGTTTTTCGTTCATTATTTTGTACATAAATAGGTCGTTAGTTTTCTTGTTTGAATTGTTTTGCATTTGTCATTTCGGGGCCTTTTATAGCTGACTTTGCCTTATGGGCTTTGCTCTTTGTTGAAGGCCGTATAGTGACCTATAGTTGTTAATTTCTGTGTCATTTGGTGTCTTATGGAGAGTTTGTCTCATTGGCAATCATACCACATCTTCTTTTTATATTAACTTTGCACATGTACAAAATATAAATGTACAAACAAAACATTTGGCTTTATTAACTGATGTGTAAAACATATTTACATACCATAAATTAATCAGCAATACACTAAATTATTCAAAAAATTTGAAGGCCTTTATAATTAAACTCATAAAGTTTGGTTTTCTCTTTAATGTCTATTTGGCATTTATCTTAATTACAGCAGTGCATGAGAAACAAGTTGTTGTTTTGTTATCCATAATTCTTTCATCTAAGCTTCAAAAAAGCTAATCTCCTCTTTTCATTTCATAAGAGTACATTAAAACACTTAAAGTAAAGATATTCTATTTGATCTCTTTTATATTTGAAGAATTGCTTCATTCACATCACAGAGTACATAAAAACCTCCTATGAAGTTATTCTCATATTTTGAAATGTTCTGTTATGTCCTGATAATAATCCTTAGCCTATGCTCATTTTTTCTGGGGAAAATTTTGTATAGACTCTATTGGCCTGTAGTTGAAATTCTAACAGGCTCAATATGAATTTTACCAGCCTATGATGGTGGGTCTGTATCACATCATGAAACTGTTAATAATACAATAAAGGTATGTAAAATTACCCTCTTTAATAAAAGCACCTGAGGTCGCCCAGAGTTTTTGGTGGGGTTTGTGTTGCTCATTTTTTTGTTTTCTATACTTTTGAGTTTGTCTATTGATGTTTTTTCCTTTTTTTTTTTTGCCATGGTGTTGTTGGTTTGTCTTTGACTTATGAGTTTGAATATTTCTTTGGTCTCTTGTATGGTATGATTAATCTGATATCTAAGACAGTGAACAAAATAAGAATTTTTTTTTTGGAAGAGGGAAAAGGGGGAGGCATGTGGCTTAGTTGCTTTTTTGTGCTACGTAGGACAGTTGAAACTTACAAGGAGATGTTCAAACTGTTTTCATTGGACTTTTAATACTTACGAGCTATATGAAGATAGGCTTTTCTGCTTACAAGCGTTCCAAGCTCAGGCACTGTTGCTTTACACTGATAAAACCCCATATCTGTCCCCCCTGAATGAACTGGTGAAATAAGTAATGATCCATTCTTTTGTATTAACCTGAAAATAGAATAACACTTTAGTTTCTCAACATTTAAACATTTGCATGTAAGCCGTTCTCTTAGACCATCCACAATGTCAAAGAGAACAAGCATGATTAACCCCGCCACATTCTTTATGTGCCTGCCTAAGTCAGGAGCCTGTAGTTCAGTGGTTGTCGTTGGTTCATGTCTGTCATATTTGTTTTTCGTAAACTGTTTTGCTATAAATTAGGCCGTTAGTTTTCTTAATTAAATAGTTTCATATTTTTCATGTCAGGGCCTTTGATACCCGACCATACGGTATGAGTTTTTTCTCATTGTTGACGGCTGTATGGTTGCCTATAATTACTTACATCCACTTCATTTGAACTTTGGTAGATAGTTGTCTCATTGGCAATCATGATGATACCACATCTCCTTATTTTTATATAGAAATATGTTAAACACGATTCCACCTAACTAGGTTTATGAATCTCATGATGTTTTATGGACTTTTCATCCTACTTCTCTAATGGATTCTTGTAAGGACAGAAACTTCTGAGGAAACTGAAGTCAAAAAGGTACAACATAAAATTAATGATCAGTAACAGAAAAGATTATGTTAATAGCCTGAAGGCCATCAAGAATTTGATTTTTAACACTTTTGTTATATAATTCTTTTTCAACAAGCAAACTGGATTTCTGCCTCAATATTTACAATATATATGTATAATTATAGGGTACCAGTTATGGTTGCAGTCTTGTAATTGACTGCTCCATAGGCTTACATGCAAAACAGCTGATCTTTGAAAATAAAAAAATAAAAAATGCTACATAGAAAAAAATTTTCATGTTCATATCATGTATGTACTAATGTGAAATTGTGATTTAATCGAGAAAAAAAAGTGAATAAAAAGTTATGTAACTGAAGTTAAAACTATTTTTTCTACTTTCTGTTTGCTGTTTTTACTAGGCCACACCACTTCCAGTAAACATGATATCCTCCCACTTTCCATGATTGATATCCCCAAAAAGATGCAAGATTTTTTTTAAATCTATATATACGTTTCAACTCAGTATAAACTTTTAATCAAACAGAAAAAATTGAGTCCAGAAAAGATTCATAAAAAAATGGACTATTCTATTTCCCTCCATGTTTTGACATGCACCGGAAACTGGAGTTGTAATACAAGACTGGTACCTTATATGTAACACTATTTCACTCTTTTTTGTTTGTTACTATGTAATTAAATAACTAGAATTGGTAGTACTTTTATAACAGTTTTGAACTCTGAAAGTTATGAGTCATTTATACAAATATAATGACTGGACAATAATGATTTAGCAATTAACCATATTTGATAATTCAGAGATAAATTTCTCTCTGATGGAAATAGGTTACAACAGGAAAATGTGATTCCAAAAAACACATCATCCTTTTTTTTTAAACCAGATATCTGCATTTATATTAGATTGACGAAAAACCATTGATATATTGCAAATACTGATATGTGCCATTAAATAAGCTGTGCTTTATGTCTTTATGATGAGGAAATGGTTTTATTTCCCCAAAATGACCCCTGTCCAGTATGTCAATGGTGATGGTCAAGTTTTTTATAGTGCAACATTAAACATGGAATATTAATGTCCAGACAATGAATTGAAATCAATATTTCCATATACAGGAAGTTTATGAAGAGAATAAATTATTTCATCACCCTAACATTGACAACTTTCCAGGAAACTGTTTCCTGATGTAAAAATATTTCCAGACAATTTATATATCTAAGCATTTCAGTTCTCACATGATATCATCCATAAAATAATATTTATTACTGAAAAATCTCATAAACAATTTAATTCAAACACATTTCATGAGTTTTATGAAAGTGTTAATTAAATTGCATGAATATAAATGTTTTTTTTATTCTGAATTAAATCTACAAGCTATAGCTATTACAGACATAATTAACCTAACACCTAACTTTTAACAAAAATACTAAAATAAAACATGTAACCTATTTCTGACCTACTATCCTTCAAAGCATTTTGAAAATATTTATAATTAGGTCAAGTCAACATGTAATATTCATTCAAAGCATTTTGTGAATGTTTATAATTAGGTCAAATCAACATATGATATTTAAGATCAAAAAGTATTTCCAGAATATTCAAGTCAAAGAAATGCTTCGAAAACCACACATCCAATCCCGTAATGACTATAGACATTCCTAGTACAAAACTTCTTTCACTAAAGCAAAGTTCACTCATTTGAATCTTTGAAACAAACATTAGTAACTACCTCTCTCTGGAGAGAACACCCTGCACTCAGTTACCTTTTATAAAGTTACTATAATTTTTTAAACATCAATAAGAAATGTTCTAGTTCAGATGTACTTGAAGATACGATAAGATTTTCTGATAATCTTTGATCTGTTTAACTGGTAGAAAAATGAATTATATCTTCATAAATATAAAGAATATTTAATAATATGATGTTTTTATTACCAAAGAATTATAAGCTCTAGCATTATCACAACTACATATGAAGCTTAAGCAAATCTGACTTTTCAACTTCCTGCTGTGTGTGTGCTATGGAACTATGGCTGTTTGCTCTTTTATCATGTTTATCATGTCCAGGTATGGATTGTGCAATTGGACAAGATATTTTTTTTTCTTCAAATTGACAGCTTTTTTCCAATGTGTGGTTCTAGTAAGATACCCCTACCCCCTTAGGTCACAAGGTCATGTTTAAAAATTGCCTCCGGTCACCAGGTAACTTTAAAGCAAACTTATATAATTATAATACATGAATGTTTTCTCTATTTTTTAAAAAAAAATTTGTATAGGAACTTGAATGGACTCAGGGGGGTGGTTTTGGGGACACAAGGCCAAATAATTCATCTGTTTTTGTAATAGGATCTTATGTCAATTTTTTTCTCAGGTCTAGCCAACTTTGGTTTATATATTTGTCCTTCAAAAGGCCATTCAAATTCATGAAACTATCATAGAATATGCCAAGATCTTAGGGTTAATACCTTTTTAAGCAAGCTGGATCACTGGAAAATTTGGGACTTTTGGGCAATGGCATAATGTTGGCAAGGAAAGTCTTTTCAATTTTCAAACTAAAGCACCATTTTGTTCATTTTGACAAAGAACGTCCTACTTTTTTACTTTCTTAACAAATTTACTGTTATATCAAACAAATTCTGACAACCCTATTAATAGCATGATTTAGTAACTAAAATATTTACTTCAAATCAACCTTTCAAATAATGAGTGGTATGGAGCATACTTAATATGGAGGAACAGCTTGATTTCTTAAATACAACAGCTCAACAATCTTATCAGATAATATCAATCCTCAGTCAATATGTCCTCCGTCAATATTGCATGTCTGACAGTAATATTACTATGCTAATCATATCATCAAATTGCATTTTTTCTGTAATTTTTACATCGATGATGCAGGTCTGCTGTCATCGAAAGCCTGTTATTACACAAGATGGAAGATACCGATTAAAAACCAGAAGGTTGAACAATTATTTTCGATTATTTTCGTGGTATTTTTGACATGGGAGAGGCATGTCAGCTGTCATCTTTAGCATGTTTAACCACAAGATTGTAGATATGCTATCCTTATATAGCAGTTTGATTGGCAGGAACAATTAATTCCATGCAATTAGAGAAAATTTGAGAAATCGTAAACTCCTGAATGAATATAATCATATCTTTAGAAACCTCCCCCTTTTTAATCATTTTTTGACAGGATAAGATTAATTTGTGGTTTGTATCAATTGTTCACCATGATTTAAATGTCTTAGTGAAAACATACATACATATGTATCTTACAGACTATAAATTACCAAAGGCTGTTCATTTAATGTCTATCTTGTAATGGGAATTCAATACAATTCCATGGGTAAAACCTTGTGTGTATTTCATGGGAAGATTACAAAGATTAAAGAGTTTTAATAACAAAGTATAATTTCCTACAAGCTCATATATATATATGCAGAATATGTCAAAAATCAAGAATTTAGAAAGAACAATTTTCAACCAAATCCTCCTAAAACAATGAAAACTGGTAACCTTGAAAATAAATGAACCAGTATTTAATTAATATACATATAACTGTTATCTCATATTAATCCATCGGTATATCATCTTTTTCACTCCTTGTATCACAAAAAAAGAAGAAACATTAAATCTTGCTTTGTTCGTTACAAATACTATTAATAGTACATGTATTACAATGTATTGTAAAATTTTTATTATTTACTCATATTCATACATGTGAAAATTATTGAATGTTGATGCAACGATTAACCCAAATCTTTTTTGCTCATGAGAAATTGGCCTTATTTTGGAATTCTTTTCAGATCAATACCAATTTCTACCATCAGTGACTTTTGGTACTTATTTGTGTGGCACAACAACTCTCTAATCTAGATAATAATTAAAGGATTATATAATTTGCCAGTTTAAATTTTGCAGAGACCTGTATCAACTGAAACACTGAACACCCACCCTGTCTGTGTTATTATACAGGTATTTAGTACTACACTAGCTTTACTCATCAAGGCCTGCCAAACTGTTACCTCTTCAAACACACACTGGCACCCTTATCAATAGATATTAAGACAAGAGACCACTCTATTAAACCATTAAAGAGACAGACATCCATTGAAAAAAGATCACAAACAACTATGTTTTTACAAGATTAAACATTGCACTGCAGACAGATGTCGATTTTGTCTGGAGAAGATAATTTCAATTACAAAAATACATTGGCTTTGCAAAAATCATCAGCTTATCTTGTCAAGTGCAATTTTGTCAATGAAAGGATCTCAATAAAAGGAAAGGATGTTATTAGAAGTGTATTCTTATTGGATAGAACAAACCTAGACATTTTACCACTAAATCAAGAGAGTTAATTTGACCCTATATATGACTTTTTACAAATTTACACATTTTTGTATGTTGTATATTAGTCAGTAGACCAAATTCAATACACTTCATCGAATAGAATAAGACTTG